TTCGTATCAATTTAAAATCAACCTTTATTGTATCAGATTCATAATAACCATCCTTAACTCGTACTATCTATAGAAACAAGCTGTCATGGCAAGCTGTCATAGAGAGAGAGAATTAAAGAAATATTATCCGGTATTCGCGCATTCTTAGGAGTTTTATCTATCCCCCCCTCCGCCAAGATAAACACCATGCCTTAAATTTAAACACCATTATTATTATTATTATTATTATTAATCTGATCTTAACATTTTAAAATTCTTCGCATTAGGCAATAGGCATCTCTACTGAATTTTACATACCTGCCCCTTTTTACTCAATTGCGCCGGATTATTAATTTTCTGTAATTTGCGTTTATTCTCTATCAATGCGATATTTTCCAAACTCGCATTTCTTTAAGCTAATATTCAAATTTAATCGTTACAGTTGACCATTTCAAGCTCAGTTACTTAACTATGATAGTAACCTTCACTACTCTTTAATTGCTGAGTTCGTCGCTGCGTCTCGTTAAAATTCTTCTGTTACTCTGTTCGCCTTACAGTTCTCATAATATTTGTCTTTTAATTATCCCTCTTTGATCCATCTCTCTGTTCTGTTAGTTCATTAAGCCATCTTTTCTTCAGAGTCTTTCACTCCTAAATAACTTCTTGCTAATTATCCCATCTTCATTAAAGTTAATCTTTGTTCTTAGCTCGCTCTAAACTAATCTCAGCCGTCTCAGCTTATATTCCTATTTGTTCCGTCTCATCTTTGATTCTTCTAGTTCATCTTTGTTCTAGATTATTCATCTTCTTATCCCTCTTTGCCCCGTCTCATCTTCATTCTTCTTTTTCTCTTTACTAAACTATTCATTTTCTTATTCCTCTTTGCTCCGTCTCATCTTCATTCTTCTTGTTCTCTTTGCTCCGTCTTATCTTCAATCTTCGTGTTCTCTTTGCTAAACTATTCATTTCCTTATTCCTCTTTGCCCCGTCTCATCTTAATTCTTCTTGTTCTCTTTGCTCCGTTTTATCTTCAATCTTCTTGTTCTCTTTGCTAAACTATTCATTTTCTTATTCCTCTAATTGTTCCGTCTCAACTTCATTCTTCTTGTTCGATCTTTACTCTTAACTAATCATCTCCTTATTCCTCTTTGCTCCGTCTCATCTTCATTCTTCTTGTTCTCTTCGCTCCGTCTTATCTTTATTCTTCTTGTTCAGATCTTTACTCTCATCTCATCATCTCCTTATTCCTCTTTTCTCGATTTATTCTTTGTTTTTCTTGTTCTCTTTGCTCTTATCTATTTATATTCTTATTCCTCTTTGCTTTCTCACATCTTTGTTCTTCTTGACCTCTTTGCTCTTAACTATTCATATTCTTTTTCTTCTTTGCTCTGTCAAAACTAATTGTTCTTCTAGTTTTCTTTGCTCTAACTAATTATCTCTGTATTCCTTTTTGCTCCATGCCATCTTGTTTCTTTTAGATCATGTGCTCTGAACTATTCATCTCTTTAGTCCTCGTCTCATTTTTGTTCTTTAGAGTTCTCTTTGCTTTAAACTAATCATCTTCTAATTCCACTTTGCTCCGTCTCATTTTGTTCTTCTAGTTCTGTTTGCTCTAACTTTAATCTTCGTTATAATAGTTAACTTTTCTACATAAGAATCTGCAGTTTGCACCTGATCATAATTTCCTCCTTGCTCCTTCCAATCCTAATTCCTCTTGTTCTCTTCAAGCTGTGCTACAACATAAAATTATCTTTTTACCCAATCTTAGTTAAGTTCTTATTGGTTCTCTGTTAAACAATTATTCTTCATAGTTCCAATACTGTCTTAATTCTTCTATTCCTTTTGGTTTCATATCAAATCTTTATCTTCATTTAGTCCTATCAGTTCTTCTGCAAGTTGATCCTCCCATCATCTCATCATTCCGGTTGGGTTTGTCCCATCGTTGCTCAGAACTAATAAGCATATTGTTCTCCTTTGCCCGGTCCCATTCGTCCCATCTCAACTCTTTTAGTTTTCTTTGCTCTGAAGACTCTGAACTATATCTTTTCTACACAACTACAATCCATCTTTCCATTCCTCCGTTCTCTATCCGATCTCTCTCCTTGCTCCATCTTTACTAATAGTCTTTCTCTACTTTTTGCTTTATCCATCAGTTAGTTTTTCCCTTTATCCTTTTGCTACATCCTTCCTGCTTATTTTGTTGTTGTAATTTCATCCTGGATCTGATTCTGGTTCTTCGACTTCTTCCAATCTAAGGAGTCTAAGGAAGTTAGAGCTGCTTCAATAGAATGCACGTCCAGTTTCTGACTGATCATCTTCTCATTCTTCGAACTATCTGTCCCATCCCAATTTTTCTAGTTCTCTTTGCTCTGTAACTTTATTTTTTCGTCCCTACAATCCATAGCTCCCCATTTCTCCTTTCTTCGTCCCGTCTCTGATTCTAGTTCTCTTTGCTAGATACTAAACGTACACTGACGCATCTACTCTTGTTTACAAATTCCGCCCAGTTTCAACATGTACGCAGAGTATACGCAACTGCAATAAAATTTCCTTGCATTATAACCTTGGATTAGTCTATCTAAAGCTTGCAGTGAATTACATTCTAGTTACCATAATGAAAACTCTAAATTTTATAATTTTTCATAAAAAAATTGAAAATGAAAAAATTGTCCTTTCTTTCCATAATGGCCTTAAGGTTAAAAAATTCAACTATTTTCCTTTCAGGGGGCATAAAATTAATACAATTGTTAGCAAAGCTTTTTGTACATTTGTGCCATCTACTTATACCCATTTGAGTCGCAAATCGCATTAAAATTTTCATTAAAAAAATAGATAATTAAATACTATATTTGTTTGAATTGTATATTTAACTACTTTGTAAACTATAACTGGCGGATTAAACTGAAGTCATAAAATGTAATTAACAAGATTAAAGCAGAAAACTAAATCATGTCAAGTTATCAATTCATTTAACAATCTAACCACTGTTTTAGGCCATAACATAAACATAACATAATAATATAGAGATTTCATGTAGAAACTAAGGAAGAGAATGATGAGGAGAATCTAGGTGTGCCCGTAAAGTAGATTTGGAATAAGTTGACTTATTGTAGTTTAAGGAATACATGATTGTTGTGTTTAGCACCATCTCATCTAGTGTCCAACACCATTAGTCTGACCGATCGGATGTCTAGAGTATTGTCGTCTATGTTTCTCGTCGATTGACTGAAGGAACCATGTCCCAGGAAACATCGTCGCCGTCTCTCCCTCCGGCGTGTAAGATACGGCGTGAACCGCCTTCTCACGTGTGCTCAGGGCGGAGACAAAATTCTCCGGAGACATTTTTTGTCTGGTTTCCAGCCTGGTGTGTAAATCCGAAAGGCACGTCAAGGCTGATGAGAGTAAAGCTAAGTCTGATGTAATCCTGATCGAGTAGAAGGAGCTGGCCAGTCCTGACCCGTAGGAGAAGAGAGCAACGTGCTGACCGGAAAGAACATCTGCTGGGCTTGATGCGAGGTAGCTAACTAATCCACCATACAAGGACGGAGTATACATGTTCCCAACGTTGGTTGCCACCAACAGACTGGGTTTAGTCTTTGTCTCAAAACTTTTCAAAGATTCCTGCATGAAAGCCTTTTCAACATCCCGGTCGAAATAAGACTCGACGAGGGAGACGTCGCTGAACTTCTCCAGCTGAGGGAACTGGGACTTCTTCTGCTCCGGGCTCAGGTTCACGTAGTCGTTCAGGGCCAACCTGGCCAGGGACTTCTGGACCAGCTTGCAGTACGGTGTATGGAACAGCACGGCCTGAAAGCTGTCAAGGCTAATGGGTTCAGCTCCTCTAAGAGCAGCTTTACTCCGGTACTTGGCATAGCAGGCATCCAGGCTAGAGAGGTAGCATCGGATAGATAAAGGAGCATCAACTTGAGGATATTCACTTGACATATCAGGTTTATAGAAATCATAAACATGCTCCATGTGACTGGATCGAACACCTGAAAAAAATTTTCTTCAATCAAATATCATAAAGCAAAATAAGCTTTTATCCTTAATTTTTTTAGCATTTATTGTAAAAAGTTGGAAATATTAATGGCATATTTAAAATTGCTTCTAGTGTTGAAAGTAAACGTGAATAATATTATATTTTGAACAGGAAAAAAATGATTTGAAAAATTAAGAAATTAATTAAAATATAATACCTCTGTCTAGCACCAATGGAGCATTAGGACCGATAAGCATCGCCACTGCCCCGGCACCGCCGCTAGGACGAGCTGCCCCCGCCGCATAAACGGCGATATCTCCACAAACCGCCAGCGCTAATCTGCCGTCCCAGGCGGACGATTCTATCCAGTTGATGGAGTTAAAAAGAGCGGCGGTACCGCCATAGCAAGCATTGGTTGAATCCACGCCTTCAAGATCGGTGTTTCCACAATCAGAAAACAGCTGAAAATAGATAAAAATTATTTTAAATAAAGCTCATTATTTTGTGGACAATAACTTATAATATACATCTGATTAATCAAAAGATGAACAAAACAGTTTATAAACAGTATAAGTAAAAAACTGTTGATCGAGAAGACAAGCAACGATTTAAATATTTCAATGAATATGAAACACGGTAATTGTGCACTGTGCAGTATACACAGACCCATTTCACTTGATCCGTTGATCTTAGAAGGGACCGTTCACTTATTTGGGTAATTTCAGGGTAAACTAAATAGGCCATTAGCTATTCATTGGTATTTGACTTACTTTTCAAAGATAACTGTGGACGGAGAAATGTCCGATTTGTCAATCGGAAATGTATGGTACCTTTGCGTTAAAACTATTTAGTCGTTTTCTCGGTAAAACAGCCCAAGAAAATCGAAAATTATCATATTTCGATGCTCTTATGTGTTAGCCATTATATTCTAAAATATGAAAACTTTTGATATTAAAGTTGGCAAGAAATGTTCGTTTTTCATATTAAAACGTTTAAAATGTACATACAAAGACGACGTTCCCTTTGGCAATCAATTAATCATGTAAGCAATTTCGGTTCGTATAGATTCAACTCCGCGTTCGTAAAAATATACTATCTCACGTGCACCGATGCATTTGTGAAATCCGAAAGAGTTTATTTAATTTATTTAACATTGATATAAAGCGATTAGCTGATTGTCGAGGGAAGCTAAGATCAATACCAATCAAAAGCTAATAAGCTATTTAGTTTACAAAGAAATTACCCCCCCCCCAAAAAGTAAGTGGTCCCCTTAAGTTACGTTAACACTATTTTTATTCTTAACAAAATCTAATAAACATAAAATTTCTTAAATGTCGTATTCCTATTTCACAGTTGTATGGGTCTGATTGTAGATAAAATAATATGTGAGATATAACTTACATATTAATAAACATAAGATGTTATTCAAGTGAACCTGCTTAATTTTCAAATAATATTTAAGATATAACTTACATATTAGTAAACAAAAGATGTTATTCAAGTGTAGCTGCTTAATTTTCAAATAATATTTAAGATACAACTTACATATTAATAAACATAAGATGTTATTCAAGTGAAGCTGCTTAATTTTCAAATAATATTTAAGATATAACTTACATATTAATAAACAAAAGATGTTATTCAAGTGTAGCTGCCTAATTTTCAAATAATATTTAAGATATAACTTACATATTAATAAACAAAAGATGTTATTCAAGTGTAGCTGCTTAATTTTCAAATAAATAAACTAAAGTTAAATCAGTATTGAAGATAAAGTTTATTAATGAGCAGATAAAATAAAGCTCAGTTGAGCAACCAATTGTTATTTTAAGATGTAGCAGATTACTTAACAAATCAGTAAAAAAACTATAATTTAAATAAATTAGTTATTTATGACATGGATATTAACTTAAGCTTGTTAAACTTAATGTCATAATTTTATTTCCGAGATATGAAGGCAATATGAATATAAAGCAAGTGAAAAATAAAAAAATCACCAAAAAAACTTAAAACTTGTAATTCAAATAGAAAAATGCAATATAGTCACGATTACGTAGATAATAAGAATAATAAAAAGAAGATACATGCCATCCATGCCTTTGAAATATAATCCATGAAATTTGAAAATCAGGTTTGAATGATAAACATTTAGTCGGACCTGCATCAAAACTGATTTTACACTTTTGCTCTTGTCAATGATGGTTTCAGTGCCAACTTCAAGTCTTCCGATCTTAGACGGATCTGTTCCAGTCTTCTCTAACAACCTGAATATTAAATGGTCTGTTCACAACCTTGAAAATCAGGATAAAGTAACAAATAAAAATACTTTTTTACCTTTAATGTAATTTTGTTTTATTCCCGTCTGTTTTATGACCCAAAATTTAAATTTTATTTATTTATAAGCATCGTTTTCCAGAATAATTGAAAAAAATATAGAATTAAATGGAAACTGTTTTAAAACGGAAAACATGCCATTATAACAAATAAAAGGAAATCTAAGGTTTAAAAATACATCGCTAGATGGAATGTTCTTGAATTATTAAAAGTGGCCTTCAATAAAGAGGCGCATAACCGATTCACAACGGTAACCTTTAGAACTTTTTCTGATCAATTATAATGAAGATGGAATTGTTTTTCTTGAATAAGAAGTGTTAAATTTTATTGATTTCCTCCCTTTATACTGTAGTAGAAACCCGCAACTCACTATCATAGAGCAGCCACAATTGAAAATTATCAAAATTTCAGAACTAGGTATCTGATTCATTCTAGATTATAAAAAGATGTTAAGTGTACCGTTGTGAGTCTGACACATGCTAATCTTTATACAGAGGGTCAATGGATATTACGTCCACAGTTCCTTTAAGTTTTATATAAAAAAGATACCTAGCGGCAAGTTTTAAAACTAACCTGTTGACCACGGTCAAGCATAGTGAGTTGATATCCTCCCTATCCGTGCAGAACCCCATCCTAGTCTGACCCAGGCCAATTGTATATTTTCCTCCTGATACTCCATCATGAACCTCAAGCTCACTCTGATAAAAACAAATATATATATACCTTTTTATGAAAGCAAAACAGGGGTTTTTATTTTGAAGGATTATCCCCCCTCCCTCCCCCGGGCCTTAGTCGGGGATTTCCAAAGTTGTCAGGCCCAGGGGGAAAAACATCCAATGCACATTTCGTTTACTTTATTTTATACTTTTTATCCAAAAACAAGTATTTTTCCAAATTAAGCAATAAAAAATCAAGTGCATACCTAACATACTGGATTTTTTTTTTTTTTTTAAAGAAAACACTTGTTCAACAAAAAATATAACGCTGACAGTTTGACATGACAATAAGTTAAACTCTCTAGACAAATACATACTACTTACCCAAGTCATAACCCCGCCTCCCCCCTCCCGTTAATCTTTTTTAAGTGTTTCGATTTGTGTTGGTGTGAAGCACAAACCCGTTTTTTGCAATGAAAGCATTTTTGAGGTTCGGTTTTAATAGATGATTTCAACTAATCATGTCTTGGTATTTAAATTCGAGGAATCTGTAATTAAATGACAAGATTTAATCAGTTCAACAATGATATGAATAAATAAATTCACAAAATAAAAAGGTCTCCATGACCTTTGTGTAAATCGGGCGAATACAAAATTGGATCCGTATCCAGCTGATAAAAATTCTATTCTAAGAATTTTCAGAATTTTATTTTTGCAAACTTGATTGGATATTTAGAGCTCTAACCAAATGGGGGATTTACATGTCTCTCTTCTTGAATCCATGCTCGAGATTCGCGTTTTGTGAGCAAATCATTTTTAAAGATATATTCTAGATGATATCTTGCTGCTTGGATCCAGGATCCGAATCTATGGAGCACAAATGTTACATTAATAAAAATTGTACAATGGAAAAGGTTTATATACATGAACAATATTTAAGAAATGAGCTTCATATCAAAATCATGAAGTACATGCTTGTATACTGCAGGGCATAGTTTTAAGGTCCGTTTTTTTACATTTAAATTTTTAAAACTTTTTTAAAGGTTTTTACAAGAATCTGAGATGCAAGTAAATGTGCGCATGTATGTAATCGAAAAGGATTCTTGAAAAGAATCACCAGATCGAATTTCTTTGTACATACTGCAAGATAAGTATTAGATAAGATGAAGATGAATTAGCATAAAAACAGGGATTCCCAGTAGAAAATTTGTTCTATACCGTCTTTAGACTTCAACCATAAAATCTATTATTCAATCATAGTTTCAAATATAAAATTTCGCTCGTCATTAAATTTATAATCTTTTTAAAAATAACAGAAAATCTGTTAAGGATAAATAACAAACAGTGAAAAATATAATTTGGTGGAAGACACTAACACGCAAGGCATTTGTTTATATAATGGGGAGTGTTAAAGGTTTATAGTAAGGTATAGTTTAAAGAGAAATAAGGTTACGTGGAAGAGTACGCAGAGTTAACCTGGCGTATAGGCGTAAACACGCATCTTGAAACCAAAAATTAGGTCAATATTTGACGTTTTTGACAGGCCATGTTTCACCTGTTGCCTTGAAATTTGGATTTATTGTTTACCATTAAAAATTCTAACCTGGTCAACGTACTGAGCGGGGAAGTAAATGTCTACCGCCAGAATACCAACATTCTCGGGCCAGCCCACCGGGGTGGGATGGGAGGTCCCATTGAACAGGCTGTGTGTTGGCATGTTGAGAGCTGAGTGACTACTGATCAATTCTCAGATAACCTGGCTGGTATACTAGGTACACCCAACCAACCTGTAAACAGACAAATAGTATTCGTCTCAATATTAAAACCCAACTGGGATTTTTTAACCCCCCCCCCTCCCTCTCTCTCTTAAGGAAGTTTTTAAAATAATTCTGCTATAGCACAAAATGCAAGAAGGCAAGGATGACACTATAAAAACAAGATGCGCATATGTTACGTGGAGAAATTTCAGAACGAAGGATATCTTTTACAGTTAGCCTACACACACACACACACACACAGACACTATACATATATCTTGACCTAACCCCCCTCCCCCCCCTCTATACACATACACCAAGCCCCTCCCCCTTTACACATAAAACAATAAACATGCTTGGGTCGAAATCATTAGAACTGTACACAAAAAATCTTGAAATATCCTTAAACAATAATTTTTTTTTCATACATAGATTGTTTGAGAAGGATTGCTTTTCATTACAATATCTTGATCTATTCCTGAACCTGAACCCACGCTAATTCTATTCTTAAACCATGTACAGAACTTACAAGCCTTAGTATTCAACTGCTAATTTTAGAAACAAAATTGTAGCGTCTACAAACCTATCTTTATATTTGCAATTTCTCCGTCATTGTAATCCAACTCCCTATTGGCATTCTTACAATTGTTTTAACTTTCGGTTTCATTATATCTTCCACTAAATTCCTGAGCCCATTTTCCTTTATTGACCAATATTCATAGCTTCCGCAATCTTCCAATCTTTTTAACTTTCGGGTTTCATCCGTTCAAATCTTCAAACAGGTATCAATCTTCATCTTCTATCTGTCAATCTACTATCTTTCAATTTTCTTAACTTCAACTATCTCCCAATCTTCCTAACTTCAAACATCTTCTACTGTCTTCCTAACTTCCAGTGTCTTCTACTAGCTTCTAATAACTTCCACTAACTTCCACCAACTTCCACCAACTTCCACCAACTTCCACCAACTTCCACCAACTTCCACCAACTTCCACCAACTTCCACCAACTTCCACCAACTTTCACCAACTTTCACCAACTTTCACCAACTTCCACTAACTTCCACTAACTTCCACTTCCTTCTACTAACTTTCACTATATTTTAAACGGTCTAACTTCTACTGTCTTCCAATCTTCCTAACTTCTACTATCTTCCAGTCTTCCTAACTTCCGATATCTTTCAGTCTTCTTAACTTCCACTATCTTCTACGGTCTTCATAGCTTCTATTATCTCCCAGTCTTTTTAACTTCCAATATCTTTAAGCCTTCCTAATTTCTACTATCTTCTACTGTCTTCCTAGCTTCTACCGTCTTCCTAGCTTCTACTATCTTCCAGTCTTCTAAACTTCCATTTCTTCTACAGTCTTCCTAACTTCTACTATCTTCCAGTCTTCCTAGCTTCCACTTTCTTCTACTGTCTTGCTAGCTTCTACCATCTTCCTAGCTTCTACTATCTTCCAGTTTTCCTAACTTCCATTTCTTCTACAGTCTTCCTAGCTTGTACTATCTTCCAGTCTTCCTAACTTCTACTATCTTCTACTGTCTTCCTAGCTTCTACTATCTTCCAGTCTTCCTAACTTCCACTATCTTCTACTGTCTTCCTAACTTCCAATAACTTCTAGTCTTTCTAACTTCAACTAATCTTAGACACTATCTTTTACTATCTTTCAAAATCATCCAACTAATGAATTCTCCTCCCCTGAAGTAGTTGGATGAAATTGTGAACTAAAACTAATGAATTCTCCTCCCCTGAAGTAGTTAGATGAAATGGTGAATAGTAAAACTAATGAATTCTCCTCCCCTGAAGTAGTTACATGAAATGGTGAACTAAAACTAATGAATTCTCCTCCCCTGAATTAGTTGGATGAAATGGTGAACTAAAACTAATGAATTCTTCTCCCCTGAATTAGTTGGATGAAATGATAAACTAACACTAATGAATTCTCCTCCCCTGAATTAGTTAGATGAAATGGTGAACTAACACTAATGAATTCTCCTCCCCTGAATTAGTTAGATGAAATGGTGAACTAAAACTAACTGCCTGATGTCACGATGTGTAGGAAAGTAAATATTAACATAGATAATAAAGCTAAGCTTAAAATATATGTAACAGATGTTTACTCAATTTCTTGTATCTTTTCAGTAAAAAAAACTATTAGTAAAAAAAATATTAACAATTTCTAAAATTAACATATAACTTTGAATTCTTTGACCAAAAATACTTGAGATATTTAAAAAACTTATTTAAAATTTGATTTTTATATCATTCCAAACATCTGCATAAAATGCAGTCTGTACAAATTGAGAACAGGTGCCACTGTCATTTTTACTTTAAATACTCTGTAAGTAAACTGCTTCCTTTATTCAACAGTAAATAAGTAAGATGGGGATTAAAATATTATCTAGACAAATGTTGAAACAAGCTGATTAAGAAAAAATATTGAACCTAAAAGAACTGTGAGTTTCATTTCAGGTGACCAAACATGTCTTACATGTAAAGATGCCTTTATTTGGTCAGTGGAAGATATTTTCGTTTTTCTAGGTTGAAGAGTGTTAATTTCTGATAATTTATTTATGTATTTCTGCAGAAGAAATGTGCAAGTCCCTTTTGTAGAGAAACCACAAGTAAAGTTATTAAGTTGCCAACGTTTGAAAGCAAGCAGGTTTACTTGAAAATACACTTGCAGTGCCTTAAACAAAAGATTAGATGATAAGGAATTGAATCTTAATAAATGGATAAATTACATAAGAACCCTTGGACCAAAATGCTTACGTTCAGTTTTACGATTAACTTTATATTTTCGATGTTTAAAAATGTGATATTCTTGCGAGTTTTCTTCATTCTACCATTAAAATGCGATAATATTGTGAGTGGAGCCGAGAGGGGGGGGGGGGTTGGTAACACTAGTAATACCAACAATACCTTATCATTATTCATAGGACTTAATCCGTATCAAGTTTCAAGAAAATAAGAACTTTTCAGAGGTTTAAAGATCCCGCTTAATCCTATCACATTCAAGGCTGGAGAGGGGGGAGGTCCATCCAATTGTATTTTTTTTCTAAATAACTTAAGAACGACTCAAATTAGAACGTTTAACCTTCTTCACTTTTCAACATCATAGTTGCATAGTTGCATAGTTGCATACAAATTTAGCTAAATAAAATTTCATGCATAGGGTAGGATGGAGGAATGCGTCTCGTTAATATTTGTCAAAATTCAAAATAATTATTTTTAACATTTTTCCGACATGTATATTGTATCGCACTCCCCTATCTCAACTCTTAAGGCAAAATCATTGGTGGGGGAAACCCCCCTCCCCCGCCTATATTAGGCAATATAGGCTGGGGAGGGGGGCTTCTAATTTTTTTTGATAAAATACCTCAAGGAACTATAAAACTCGACTCAGAGTTCTAATCTCTATTGTTTTGAAATCTGATGGTGTTAACTACTTGATCTGGCATACTTCTTAGCAGGGGTGTATATAATTCCAATCTTTTTATTCTTCACCCCCCCCCCCCCCTCTAAATTTTTCATTTCCTTCCCCAAATTAGATAACTAAAGACATAATATTTTAAGATTTATACTGCAGTGCATAATAAACCCCATAAGGATGATTTTGCAAAGAATCTTTGATTGATTATTTGCCGGTCCAGGAATATTTTTTCTTCTTAGAAATCATTTCCAATCATTTTGGAAATGGAAATGGAAATTTTTTTAATATGTTTGATTATTTGGAAAAATGATTGAGTAAGGGGTATTCTTTTACCATATCTTTTAATGAAACTGTGCGCTGAGCGCGAACATTTTTTAACTTTTTTTTATACTGCATTATAACTATCGGGGAAAATTATTTGTGAAAAACTATCTGGTTTCAGAGAAAGTAAAATATGAAGAGGAGAAGAGCTTCACTTCCCTAACTTCCCATTTCCTTCCTTATCTGCCAACCATCCATCAATTTTCCCCCTTCCCCTTCCATTCCCTACATTCACCTTACATTCTACTTCTTCTTCTCTACCTTCATTTTCCCTTCCCTACCTTCCTTTCCCTTCCCTATCTTCCTTTCCCTTCCCTATCTTCCCAGTCCCTATTGTAGTTCCCTGATACTATTTTTGTCTTTCCCTCCCGGCCTTCCCTTTTCCAACCTTCCCTATCAGAACACTTCCCTCCCTACCTATCCACTTCCCTCCTAACATTTCCCCCTTTCCCATCCCTTCCTTTTGTCGTTACCCTTCCCCTTTTATACTTTTTTTTTCCTTTCCCCTTTTCCGTTTCCTTCCCTTTTTTCTTCCTCACCTCTTAAATCAAATCAAATCAAATCAAATCAAATCAAATCAAATCAAATCAAATCAAATCAAATCAAATCAAAATCAAAATCAAAATCAAAATCAAAATCAAAATCAAATCATTAGTTTAAGGTATTGCTTTAAAACAATCAATATTGTGAGAAAAATCAACATTTTAAAACAATCACATTATAATAATGTAAAAAACAGCGTTCTTGTTTCAAGCGACAGTTTTATCATTATATTAAAAAAAAGAATAAAGTTGATTTTAAGTTTCTTGCATTTAAATAAATAATTCCCCGTTTCCAATGTAATATAAATTTAATACCAGCATAAGAATTAAAAATCAATGCTTATAGAATTGTAGGTTATATAGTATTTTTTTTAATAACAGAATAATATATCAAAATCACTGCATGTTCTAAAATGTAACAATTTCGTATCAAAAGAAGAAATATATACATTTCTAATGTAGTAATGTTTAATTTTGGTCTTAAAAGTGTAACCTGGACTACTTATTAATTTATTTTTTATTTATTCTATAGACTCAAATTAAAAAAATGTTCATTCAAAAAACATAACTTTGTTGCTTTGGCTCTAAGTCATGTGTTGGAACAATCTTTCAATGTAATTTAAATGAGAAGTGAAACTATTAAAAAAGTGAACATCTACAAGAAATCCGCTTTTATCTAAGAATATAACGATATTAATTTCAAATAACCCTGTAACCAAAGAGGGCAATGCCCTTTCACAACGGAACCCTTGACATCTTTACCTGATTTCTAGGTTTATAAATGTTATGTACTGATACTCCCTGTATAATTTCCTGTAGTAGAAAAATTACTTATGTAGAGAACCCACAGTTGAAAATGAACAGTCCTAATCATTGATAACTACTTTATTCATGATCAGACAATACTTGTGAGGGTATGGTTGTGAATCTGGTGTATTGCCATCTTTACATGGAGGGTCACAAGAAAACACACGTACAGTCCCTTTAATTGTTAAAAGTTATAAGAACCAATGCACACTAAACTTTCCATGTACCAAGTACAGATTGGAATCTTTTAAAAGGGCCGATATTAAATCATTGAAAGCTTGTTTCTTCACAGGTGTTCTAAAATAGTCCTAGATAAAAAATCAGATTTTCTTTAAGTTTACTTCATTATACATTATTCACTTTGGCCAAAAATATCGACCAAAATTTTTTTTCAAAACGATGTTACCAATCATTTCGATTAACAGCAAAGATTGCGCAATAATATAAAGAAAAGTTAGTCAAAAAAAATTAAAACGTTTAGTGAAAAACTCAACTACATGAAAACAAAAACACATCATCTTACCTCATAGTTAGGTTTCACATTAGCATGGTAAACATTTTTTTTCTAAAAAATGAATATAACAGATTGCTTAGTGGACACATAATTTATTTCACGAGAAAGCTGATGTTGAACAATGAAAAGTAGCAAAATTATAACTTATGAATGAGTTAGATTCAGCAGTTTTCATGCGTAATTACCAATTACTTTTATAATTTCATTTGTGTGTAAAAGAACTCTCCGAGGTTAAAAACAAATCTGTTGTAATATTATTTAACACGTTAAAAACACCTTCTGTGCAGAGTTTATTTATCCCGAAATATTACAAAAATGCGATATTGGCCAGATTTATGGCATTCGGCCAAACTCAGGCAGTAACTTCTTCGGCGGTGTCGACGGCCGTTTCTTTTTCATCCATCTTCTCTCCTTCTTTATCTTCTTCTTTATCTTCTTCTTTCTTTTTCTCACTTTTATTCTTTTCTATTTCAGATTTCTTTACATCCACACCGTTTGCCTGAAAAGAGAATTAAAAATGTTGTTTTCTCATTTAACAAAATATGAGTCTAGGTAGATCAATTCAATTCTCAAGTCAATCCTGAAAACTTAAAGAAAAAAAATAATAATCGGTAAAATAGAAAATATTTTACTAGGAAGAAACCAAATATTAATTAAGACAAATAAATGAGATTAAACGAAGGAGAGAGGAATGGGGTTAATTTAAGAAGTAAAAGTAAAACAAAACTACTTTCAAGTCTTGTCAGTGATTCCCCCCCCCCCCCCCATAATAAAACTAAAATAATATCCGGGGATCTCCCCCCCCCCCCTCTATCTAATAAAAATAAAGTGATATCCATGACTAATCTGAAATTCGCTAATTTGCTGACCAATAAGATTAGGTGTTGAATAACCCCGGTCTTTTGTGACTTACAGGGAGAGAGGGAGAATGACACGTTTGATTCATGCATTCTTTACATTTAAAAGCACTTTTTAACATTTTGTTAGGAAACGGCTTAGTTTAAAATTTATTGCATTGAGAGAAAAACTCTAAAAAATGGAATTTAATTTTCTTAGAAAATTACCTTGACCTCCTCCTTTGGTTCTTCTTTCTTAGGAGGCTGGGGAGGACTAGCTAGAGGCTGAACTCTGTACATAACATCCTTGAGAGCAGCCAGATACTTGGCAGCCTCCCCTCGGCTACCCAACAGCTCGACCTCGGTGCTCTTCATTTTCTCTCTCGCCAACTTCAGCTCATTAACCAGCTTGTCGCGCTGCGCCAGATATTTGTCACTCTGGTCCTTGCAGGTCGACAATTCCTTCTGAATTGTCACGAGTCGAGAATCTGTCACCGAACGCACTTTTTCTGCCCTAAAATTAAAGATAAATCAGTAATAATTTAAGAATGGTTTTTAGGGAAGTTTTAAAAAGTTTCAAGTTAAAAGTAGGAAAGGTTACGACTAGGAATGGGGGGGAGGGGGGCCTGAAACCGGGGATTTTCCACAGAAAGTTTCCTCAGATTCACAGAATGCTCAGCAGACTCTACCACTACCCTACACAGACACTACACTAACCCCTAAACTTCTCTCCCTCTACATGATTAAGGATAAAAGAGACACAACGGATTTACTTGTCCATTTTCTCCATGAGTTTCTCTATATCCAGGACAGTTCCTCTGAATTTGACCAGTTTATTAGTTTCCCCAGTGGATGCAGCTGACTCCATCTCAGTGCCTGGAACGTACTGTTTGAACCCTGATGCAAGCTCCTTGTCGGATTTAGCACCAGCAACCTCTTCCTGCATAATCATCAAGATGTGAGAAAAATGTTAATTTTACCTGGTGCCGCTAAATCTGTTAGGTGGTACCACGCTCAATCATTTTTTATTTTAAAACCCAAATATCACCCCCCCCCCCCCAACAAAAATACGAGTAGGACTAATGAAATGAAGAAAGGGTGTGGTTCAGATTTGAAAGTGAAATATCAGGACAACTTAGGGGCTAGCTTTATTGTAAACAACCCGATATTTTAAACAAACATCTGATATTGTAAAAACAAACGAGTCTCATAGATTGCAAACACAAAATAAGATTGTAGACAAACATATTATATTGTAAACAAACGTCAGATATTTTTAACACAACATCTTAGATTGCAAACAAAAACTAAGATTGTAAACAAACTTTGAGATTATAAGAAGACAATGAGCAGTGAAAGAAGAATTATCCATTAAGTTAGTTAAAATAAAACTAGTTCTTAAGCCGTCCTAATACGTAACTACAAAATAAAAACCCATCCCCCTTAAGCCCCCTTGATTTAAATCTTAGAATTATGTTGACATATTTAGTAATTACCAACCCCAAAAGCAACTAAATAAAACTCGAAATATTAAAATAAATATTGTTTTCCGGGGAAAGAAAAGTATAATATACCTGTTCTGGTGATCCAACCTCTACATCTGTGAGAACCCTGTAGTTAACATGATCCTTGGCCCCAGCCAGCTTAGAGGCCAACTTCTTAACCTCGGCCCTCGACAATTCGAGGTCAAGGGTTAAAAAGATATCCTCGAGGTCCTGAACATTAGAAAATAACACAAAAACAATAATTTTTAGAACAATTTTTTTAAAGCCCCCCCCCCCCAAAAAAAAAAAATATAAAGAAACCAATAACCCTTTTAACGTCAATAGATGTAAAAGCTTCTTGCCTTAGCCTCAAAGTATCCGATGTGACTTAGATCAAAGTATGAACATCCAAGCAGGAGATCCCTGTTCCTCGTGAACATCTTCTTCTCGGTTTCCACCTTATTCTCCTCCTCCTCATCCTTCTCATCCTTTTTCTCGTCGTCCTTTTTCTCCTTCTTGTCATCCTTGACCGGCTCCGGAGCGTTAACGATGGCTCTGTAGATCTTGAACGCGTTGTCCCTCATCAACATCTCGTTGAAGAGCTCCGCGAAGAGAGAGATCTCGAAGGTTCCCTCCTTGTTATCATCTGACCTGAGAATTCAAGGGTGTATATTTTTAAGAAATGATTTTTGACAATCTGGGGAAAAAATTAAAATTGGACATCAAAAGGCAAGTTTTTATCCCTTTTTCAAACATTTAACTCAAAAATTTATATGTTTCCCCATTTCAGTGAATAAAACCCTAAAAAAAATTTGCCGCTCCGCAGTTATTCCCAAAACAAAAAATGCAGTGGGGACCAATGAACTAATGATAAGTAATGCCTGATCTACTGTTGTTAAGTCGAGTTTCAGAAAAAAATTGGAAATGGAAGAAAAAGATTTTAACAAAAAAAAGAAAATTAGCCTGTGATTTCTGAGCTGGATTAGGATTTATTAATCATTGGACGGATTGGACTCCTACTGGTTTTGTCTCTTGATACAGGGAAACCCAAAAAACTGCAAGACTCTATGCATGAATTAAATGCTTACCTGTAGTCTAGGAGAACAGAGAGTGTTTCAACCCTGCAATCAAACTTTCCAGACTTAACCTTGATAAAACAATATTAAATCGAAAAATTTGTATTTATAATATAAATATATTTGAGGCATAAAATACTATGTTTTATACAAATATTTTTGGACGAGTAAGGCTTCAAAATTTCATAATCTTAAGAAAATCCACCAAATAAATGAACACGTCAACATCTTCCATAACTATATTCGATTTTATTTACAGAAAAATGCTTGCTGAGTGAAGCAGAAATGAAGTTATAATCGTTACTAGAAGAAGATTTTACAAACGAATAGTAAAAATGTATTTTCACCTTTGTATTAGGGTGAACAAAGAAGCAAGGAGATGACGGAGTTTTGTAATAATTCTTTATTTTCTCCTTCGTCTTCTCATCCAGCTCCTTCTCCTTCTCATCCTCAACCTTAGAGAAACAAATAGCTATCTGTATAATAAAGCTCTTCGCTCGTATGCATTTGTATGTATATATGTTAGCTATAGCTGGCCAAACGGCTAGACTGGATGAACTGAATTTTTTCCTAATTTTTTTCTCTAAAATTCGATTAATCGTCAAAACGGCAGAACCGAACTGGTCCAACTTTCAATTAACACCGTAAAAATGGTAAATATATTACGCTTTGAGCTTGAAACTTTATATTAAATGGAATGAGTTAACTTTAAACTTATTCGTAACCAAAACCATGATCAAAAACTTTAAAACACGATTTAAGAAAGTTCCAGTTTCGATTCTGAAATTGAGCTCTGCAACCTAACTTCACGTATATACCTTAAGTGTAACTCTATTTGTTTGTATTCAATGAACGTAAAAACGGCTGAACCGATTAAGCTTTTAAAATTTTTGAGGCAACTCACCCAAGGAAGGTTAATATATGATCAGAATTACAAAAAAAAAATCTTGATTTTTGTAAAAATTATAAAATCCACGAAAAAATATTTTTAAATCCCCTAATTTTTTTTGTTATTGATTAATTTTGTACGAGAAGATGTTTACAGATAGATTCACAATTAGAAGTTGAATAGCAAATAGAAGTGCCCTAACAGCCTAATATTAAAATTATAGAAGGTTTTGATCTGTTTACAATTGTTTTACCTCTTCATCCTTCTTCTCCTCCTTGTCCTCCTCCATGGGTTCTCCGTCAACGTTCTTCCTCTCCTCTGCCTCTTCCTCAGACTTAATATAATAAACATGATGCCAGGGGTGTATATTAGTTCAGAGATTCATATTTAACCCCCTTCTTAATTTTGGTTTTGGTTCTACTATGGGGTGTTTTGGTGCCCTGAAAGGGTCAATAACAAGGTGCCCCCCCCCCCCAATTTTTTAAAATAATTTTTAAAGCACTTTTTCAACAATTTCTGTCCCTGTTTTCATGAGATTTGATTTTTTATGAAAAGGGATATGAGCTTAAGCTAGCAGATAAAAACAAAATCCCTCTTTATATTCTATATTCTTTACCTTTACAAGCTTCTGAAGCCTGGCTTGTAGTTGGGACTTGAGACCCTTACTGCTCTGCCCCCTAGCCTCCAATTCACTCTTCAGCTCGTTAACCTGAACAAAATAATCGTTAAACTGAACATAATAATCGTTGACCTAGACAAAATATTCGTTATCCTGGACAAAATAATCGTGAACATGAACAAACTATTCGTTAACATGAACCAAATATCCGTTATCCTGAACCAAATATTAGTTAACGAGAATAAAATATTCGTTAACCTGAACAATTTAATCGTCTACCTTCAGACTATGTTCATATATTATAAAACAGCCAAGTAATTATAAGATAATAAATAGTTTTATTAAATAAGGATTTATTAATAATTTAGATGATAATTAAATGGTCTGATTTTTTTACTCATAAACAAAACTAAAATATTTATCAAGCGTACTTTTCATTCTTTTTCAAATCTTTTTAGGACCTTACCTTCATATTTTTCAAATCTAGTTCCTTCCAATGTGTTGGATCTCCTCTCTTAACTGTCTCTTCCCCGTCATCTCCCTCTTCTTCATTCACTGACGCATCCATATCAGTAATATCCATCTCGGGCAGCTTGACGCACTTTCCCTCCATCTTCAGTTGACAATTCTTTGCGTACAGCTCGCAGGTTGCGTCATAATCAATTTTGTTAGGCATTGCGTTCCAGATATCCGGGAAGAAAAGAACCACGGTTTCCGTCCTGGCAGGTTTGGTCGAGGAGGCTTGTCTCCGGTAATGAATCTCGATAAACTTGGTCCACTTAGTGCAGTTGGATAGATCAATGCCAGTCATAGCTCCGCAGGTTCGGATTGCAGTCTTGATTAGAACGGAGGGATCGTTCTTAGGATCGGCTCCATCTAGACTAGGAGACCAAGGGCCTCCGATAGCCATAGTTTCACTCTTTCCCTTTAAACCAACCAGGAACTTCAGAGCTCTTGAGGGATGAACCAAACCTTCCCTAGAATCCTTCTCCTCAGAATCCTTCTCAATGAGATGACATGTCTTCTCATACAAATCTTCCTCGCTAGGGGAGGCGAGAAGCATCACTTTTGCTACATAGGAATAATCGGCATCCTCTGGGTCGTATTGAAACTTGTTGTGGTAAACAGGATCCACATGTTCCTTGTTAAATATGGTAAAGGAGGATGGAGCAGAGACACGGAACGGGGAGTCCACGGGGAATGCCTCGTTCCATGAGTGGTTTGCTGTAAAGAAGTCGGAGGGGATGTACAGACTGTTGTACCTCTTCTTCAGTTCAATAACGTTGCTCTTTGGAAAGTTGAGAACAACCTTAGGAACAGATACACTGTACCGGGGAAGGTTGCGAGCTCTCCTTCTTGGCGGGGACCTGCTCTTCGTCTTGGTTCGAGATCTTTTCCTGGAGCTACGTTCCCTCTCTCCACGTTTTTGATCCCGATTCCACTTATCATCCCTTCGCCGGGGTGGCCTATCCCTTCCTCTATCTCTTCCCCCTCCCATACCTCCTCCCATATCACCTCCCATATCACCAAACCCTCTGGTAGGGTTAGGTTGAGTCCCTAGGAGACTTGAACCAGAACCTTGAGATCCAGGCAACGGTGTAACTCTTGTCGCGTTCCACTTAAAGGGCATATTAGCGTTGTAGGTAGCTTCGACTAGAACCCTGTCTCCTACAAGAGGAACCGGTCCCTTGCATATATTCGTCTGGAAAAATACGTCTTCGTCGACGAATCCAAAGTTATCATGAAGCTTGGTAACAGTACCCGTGAATACCCTGTTACTAGGAGTGCCGGATCCCATCAATGGTTGGACGGGCATCTGGTTCTGCATCTGTCCATACCCAGAGTTCTGATTAGATCTAGGTGCAGGGTAAGATATCCCTACGGGGGCCATTCCTTGTCCCATCCCTCCTTGTTGCATACCCATTCCAGATTGCATCATCCCTTGTTGTTGATAATTGTTCATCCCTCCCATCCCCTGGTTTCTGTTGTCCCAGGGACTTTTATGATTCCCGTAACCGGACATTATCCTCAGATTTCAGGCAACTACAGAGATTTCTGAAATAAAACGTTTTGATAACACAATAATTTTAATTACTTCTTCAGTATGAGTAAACACATTAAAAAATTGTTCAGTTACTTAACTATTCACGAATTAAACATTAGAATACTGTTTTTAGAATTCATCTAATATGTAAGGAGAGCCCGGTTTGCGTTAGCGTTAGAACGGCCATGTTGGATTCGGCATTAAATATTTACAATTTTATGTCGTCTTAAATCTAAGAAAGGTCTTTAACAACCGACCGACCGATTAAAAAACGATCTATTTATCTAGCGAAAACTTTGGTCAACTATTCTTAAGGTTCATACGTACATTTTTTACTCTATTAATATTAGATACATTTCAATTTGTTTTAAAAAAATGTTTGCCTGAGCTACGTAGGTTCGTTGATAAACTAGCAAATTCTTGAATATTGGGAAGATAAGGATAATTATTGAAAGTAAAACCATGTTAAGGTCTTTAATAAAAGCAATACAGTTGAAACAAAAAGATTTATTCAAACGGTTAAGTAGCTTTAGCAGTCAGTAAAGTCAGTCTTATTCTAAAAGTATTTTTAAAATGTGATGAAAAAGAATGTTTACCAAACCAAATAAAATCTTATCTTATGGGCCAAACAAAAGGCCGTTCTAATAAAGGATTTACACCAGTGTAAACTGTCATTTACACTGGTGTTTACCTAGGTTCGGATTTAATAGTCATGAATTACACTGGTTCAAACAACAACAACGTACAGTTTACACTGGGTAGATTTACACCAGTGTCAAGAAATGAAAACACTGGGTCCACCCTGTGTTTTCTGACTTACCCAGGGTAAACAGAGACCAGAAAACCATGCAGAGATGAGAACTTAATAGTTCAGAAAATTAAAAGCATTTAATAATTCTATTATTTAGGTTACACCGGGGGACACAAATACACCAGTGTAAATATACCCTTAGGGTTTACACCAGTGTATTGCATTTCTTTATTAGAACGGCCTAAACACACATTTAAATTTACGAACACAAACATAACTTATACATCTTTAGACTTCCACCATCTTTCAAACATCTGATTTAAGCCTTGTACAAGTTCAAGTACTGTAAGACCCCAAAATGTCATGCGATAATTTAGCAGAAGGGATAGAGGAGTTAGAACCATCAGAACTGGGAACTAAGGTATTTAGTGGGCAGTGGCTTAATTATCCCCCCCTGAATACGCCTGGAGGGGGGGGGGGGTTATTGGGTTTAGGTACTCAAGCCCCTCCCCCTAGAATCCTGGAGGTAATCACCCCTGAATAGCAGGGATTACTCACACATTGCAACTACATCTTACCCTTACCAGTTGTCCCCATCATAAAAAATCATTCCCAATTGATATATATATGTCTGCTTTTAACACCTTTTAAGAAAACATGTGAATAGAAGACTATTTTTATGGAAATAGAAGTGTTTGCAGCATTTCAATGTAAGCCAGTCTACGAGATGTAAATTGTCAAGGGGACATGACTATTGACGACAAAACTATTTTACAAAAATACCAGTCTGTTACAGATCAATGAAATGTAGTTAATTTAAAATTAATGACTATAATGAAGGATATAGAAGAAGGTGAAAGCTGAAAAGTAGGAAAGGAAGCCTTTATTTTATAGAGTTTGTTAATGCCGGAAATGAGTGGAATATTTGAATTAAACCCAACTAAAACCAATAATTTGATACACATCATGAGGGGGATATATATAAATTTAGGAAGTTTTGATTACAATATCACAATGTTTCAAAAAAAACTGTAACTTTTTCTAGCTTAGAGACATTACATGAATTGAAAATTCTAATTTATATCAAAGGGATGTGGCGTTTTTTTCGGTGCTATGGAAACGCCTCAACACGGAAACGTCTCAACACGGAAATGCCTCAAAAAAAAGCGGAAACCCCTCAAAAACCGGTTTTTTTGAGACGTTTCCGCAATTTCTGCAAGAAAAACGGAAATCCCTCAAAACCCAGTTTTTGAGGGGTTTCCTCTTTATTTTGAGGCGTTTCCTAAAATTTTTGAGGTAAAAAAAAGAGGAAACGCCTCAACAAAATAAAGTTTTAAAACTTTTTTCAAAAAACGGAAACGCCTCAAAAAAAAAACGGAAACGCCTCAAAAAAAAAGAGGAAACACCTCAACTTTAAATATTAGGAAACGCCTCAAAAATATTCGGAAATCCCTCAACATTTTCCAGTTTTGAGGGATTTCCCAAAAAAAAACGGAAATTCCTCAAAACCGGTTTTTGAGGCATTTCCGCGTTGAGACGTTTCCGTGTTGAGGCGTTTCCATAGCACCGTTTTTTTCAAGTGACCCTCCACGCAAAGATGGCACTGCCAGATTCACACGGGTACCCTTAATGTGCGCATTTTTACGGTTTAGGAAAACATTTGGAAGTTAAACGAATTAAACAATTTTAAACCTGAGAAAACGAAAATATCTTCCACATTATTGATCAGATAAAGTTTTCATGGGACGTACCATTGTCAATCCTTAATATAATAATAATTTTAATATGAGTATTGAAATCTTTTATTGATCATCGTAGGAGTACTGGGAGAAGAGTTACCAGCTGGAGCTCAACAATTTCTCCGACCACGGGGACGTTGGGGAGGTGTGGTTCGGAGAGGAGGCCGGGATGAGAATGATTAGTTGGTTGGTTAAAAATCCTGATCTTGTGGCTCCGACAGATAGTATCCTTGACAGTGGTACAGGTATAGACTAATATTAAAGATATAAAGGGGAATTTATTATCTTAAAAGTGCCCCTCCCCCACCCTTTTTTCTCTTAAAAAATACATTTTCCCAAATTAACAAGTTTGGTAAAGTGATGGTAATTGGTAAGTAAAGTAATTTTATTTAGTCATTATACAGTAATTAATGCTATTGTGTTTAGGGAACGGAATGCTTTGTGTTGATATTTTATTTAGTCATTATAAAGTAATTAATGCTAATTGTGTTTAGGGAACGGAATGCTTTGTGTTGATATTTTATTTAGTCATTATAAAGTAATTAATGCTAGTTGTGTTTAGGGAACGGAATGCTTTGTGTTGATATGGCGAGGGAAGGGTTCTCAAATATTACTGGTGTTGATTATTGTCAAGAAGCTATTGATCTCGCAGATAAGGTTAAAAATTATCTTCATGATTATGAACAATAATGATTAATTATAATAATAATTAACAATAACAAAAAATTGAAGACATAAAAAAAAATAACATAAAAAACAAGAAAAAAATAACTTGAAGTAAAAATATTTTTTTAAAATGAAAATTAAATAAAATAGATTACAATGAAAAATAATAATACAGATCGTAAAAAAAAGTAAACATAAAAGAATGTTTTAAGGTAAAATCATAATGAAATATAATCCTGTAGTATAAACAACTAGGTTGGGAACCAAGCTTAGCCTAGAAACTAAACTTTCTCTAAACTATTTAACCCACTAAACTAAGACATTTTGAACCAAGTTAAGAACATTCCCCTGGTTCTAGCAAGTTCCTCAGTCGAACTTTTAGGCAAATCAGTCATGGGGTTCCTAAGTTATGATCGGACATAAAAACAAACATGGGTCACTACTTTATAAAATAAGATAACTGAAACAATAATCTAAATATCAGTGAAAAATTGATAAAATGATAAGTATTCATTAATAATAAACACAAAATATCAAATTATAGTTGATGTATTTAATTTATGCGACTTTATTTAAAGGTTGCTAAGGAGTCTGGGGTCGAAGTTAAATTTGAAGTTGGAAATATACTACACATGGATTCTGCAGCACTAAAAGCAAAATATAAAGTATTCTTGTTTTTTTTTACACAGCAATTTTGTTACATCGCTTAACCTGAAGAGAGTAATTCCAAGTAACCCTCCGGTTACCACAGTACTATTTTAACGTCAATAACAATAAGGAATTATTGTCGGTTTTCTATCTTGGAAAAGTATAATATTCTTGCAAACTACTTGCTGTTATAGCGGAAATCCACAATTAAAAAGAATCAATTTTCAATCAATAAAATTAAGACATTTCATTCATCGTTTATCAGACAAAGGTTGAAAAGGTACTGTTGTAAATTGGATAAATGAAGGGTTACCTAAAATGACGTCTTTAAACCCTTAAAGCACAAAATTTAAGTGTAAATAATCTTCCTTGCTAAAACTAGTGACGAACCAATAAAGTTCCATCTAAAAAAAAATAAAAAAATTGTTGTCCACAAGTTTTATTTAGAATTGAAATTATTTAGGTTGTCACTGATAAGGGCACATTTGATGCTATAAGGGAAGAAATTGAAACATAGATTTTAATACATTAGATGAATGGCTAAAGTCCATAATTTGATGCAAATGATATATTCAAGTTATCAAATACTAGTTTTAAAGTGTACAGTGTACACTGAGGGCCTGGTGGTAAGATAAGAAAAATTAATTTCTGCTTTAATTCATTTATTATGTTTCATATTTTTTCTTAAAGTTTGGGAGGCAGTGCAAAGGAGGACAAAGAAACATACCTGAGAAACACATTTAATCTTCTGGAAGAGTCCGGAATATTTTTAATAACGTCCTGTAACTGGACTAAAGACGAGTTAATCAAACAGTTTGAGGAGTACTTTCACCCTCATCATGTCATTCCAACCCCGGTGTTCAGTTTTGGCGGAAAAACCGGGAACATGGTCTCCAGTGTTGTGTTCAAAAAGAGAAAATCGTGATTTTTTTCAGAGTAAAGATGGCCACCGGAAATTCATTGGCACGTGGTGTGTACGTAGTTGCTGCAAAACGTACAGCTTTCGGAGCCTTCGGGGGCACCCTGAAGGGACATTCCCCAACTGACCTTCAGGTTTGATCTGAAGATATCTTTTTAAATGAAAAATCTGGAGAAAACTTATAATTTCTGTTCAGGTTCACGCTGCACAAGCTGCAATGGCTGCCGGCGGAGTTAAAGCAGAAAACATTAGCTCTGTTTGTATTGGAAATGTACTTTCTGCATCTTCAGCAGATGCCCCCTACCTAGCTAGACATGTGGCTCTTCGCTGTGGTCTTGCCGTTCCTACTCCAGCACTCATAGGTACATAAACCCTTCCCGTCTCTACTCCAGCACTCATAGGTACATAAACCCTTCCCTACTCCAGCACTCATAGGTACATAAACCCTTCCCTTCCCTACTCCAGCACTCATAGGTACATGACCCCTTTCCCGTCCCTACTTCAGCGTTCACAGGTACATCCTTTCCGTTCTTAATCTTACTTCAACCCCTTCCCTTATCTACTCTATTTCTATGTAGATAACAATAAAACCATATTTTAATAGTACATAATATTTTATTCCTTATACTTTAATTGTTTACTCCTTATATCTTTGCAACCTGATGTCGTAAAACGTTTGATATTTCAAACTAAGAATTTAGTTGATATTATAGGAAAATACAGATTACTTATGATGACAAACAAACTTTATTCATAACGATTTTATTTTTAAAATATTTTTTTGTCCCCAGGACATGTTCGGGTTGTTACGATCTAATCTCTGAATTTTTCTTTTGCGAAAGTTTGATGTTATATGGGTTTATATATTGATCTACCAGGGGTTGTAATTTGGCAGCACTCTACGCTCATCTACGCTTCATTCATACTGAGAAGAGGGTTGACAAGATTCCAGCTGCCTAAAGGCTTCTTAGGCCTGAGAATAGTAGAGTGCAGGAATTTTTCTGATATACTGGAATAAAACCCGAGTGTTTTATCTACAGGAAACATCGCACTCATTGCTCCCAATCTTTGAAAGCCCGTATTGGATACCTCCAGATACCTATAGCTTGCAACCATAGTCTCTCCCTTCTTGTCCACCTTTCCTCTCTTGATCATCATTCACTTGTATCAATCCACTTAAAGCTTCTTTCTTGTTGAGTATAACACACGCGCCCTTTCAATGCGAGAGTTGGTTACAGCCGCCCCTTTGTCCTCCTACATCCATAAGGTGGTCATAACTGTTTACCCAGATGTCGGCTTCAAATGTTTTTGAGACCACAGGTTTGTGAGGAGTACGGGAATTGAACCCGTGAACACCAGTCTGGACACCAATCCAGTTACTGGCTTTGGAAAAGTGTGCTTAACTTCAGTGAGCTAACGAGAACTGGTATCACACACTCCCCACTCCACCCCTCAGTAACGATTTATGAAACCTACATTTCTTTTAAGAATAAGTAAAGTCATTTCGAGATTGTGTAATAACCCGTAGAACGTTCCTAAAAGTCTTAATTTGATTTTTTATGAATCCTTTCATTTCGTAGATTTTTAATGTTTTTATAAAAGATTTTTTTGCGTTAACAATTTTGTTTTTACTCTTTAGTTAGACCTTTGAAATGAAACGATATTTGTTGTCAGTGAACCGATTGTGTGGCTCTGGGTTCCAGTCTGTAGTGAACGGAGTGCAGGAGATCCTAGTAGGAGACTCAGAGATTGTTCTCACCGGAGGAACTGATAATATGTCGGCTTGTCCTTACGCTGTCAGGGATATCAGGTAACAGAGGATATTAACTTAAGATTGGGAGGGGAGGGGGTTGTTATTGGGGGGGCGAATGGTATATAAACTGTTAAGTAAAAAAGGATTTATTTGAAACTGAATTACCCCATTTAAAATCAAAGTTTCGAGCTGCAGATAAGTCGCAATAATATTACGACTTAAGTGTCGCAGAATTACTGATTTAACTTCAAGTCTAAAATTTATTAATTTTTTTATTTTTTGGAATCAGCTGGATTGATTACTCAGGGCTCTCAGCCAGGGTGTTCCATGTTGGATTTCCTGTCGGTTTTATCTATTATTTCAAGTAAATATATATCTAGGTTTGGAACTAAGTTGGGCCAGGATCCTAAACTGGAAGATATGATGTGGACCAGTCTAACAGACATGTTGGCTAAGGTTGGAACCACTCATTATTAAAATAAATGAAACTTAAAAATTAACAGTTTTCTGATCCCATTTGAAGGGTCTAAAAAACTAATTCACCACAACCCAAAAAACTTATTTGGCATGATGAAAGCTCTTAAATTAAAGTAAATTGAATTAAACATGTTTGCTTGATTTTTAAGCCTACATGTTAGATTTGATGATAAATTTTAAGATTTGCGGGATTATCATGATTAATGGATTTTTAGACTCCCATGGGAGTGACAGCAGAGAACCTAGCGGAGAAATATAACATTACAAGGGAGGAGTGTGATAACTTTGCTCTCAGGTAGCTAGGGTTTCATTTACTTTCGGCCCGTACAAATTAATTGATTCATTGATTGATCGATTGATTAATATTGTTTGGGTAATTAATTGATTCATTGACATACTATTTAATATTAACTCCACAAACATGGCGATTGCTGATTGATTGATTAATTGATTTACCAATAAAATAGTAAAAAGGCATGGCCATCTGCTGATTAAGAATGATTAATCGATTGATAATCAAATATTTAGATCCCTATAAAAATGGGCATCTGCTGATTAATTGATTGATGATCAAGTATTAAGATCCCAGGAAACATTGACAGCTGCTGATTGCAGAGTTGGCATGAAAAAAACGAGCCCAAAAAAACACCCAAAAGAAAACAATAAAACACACTTTAAAAAAACCACTTGCAAGTGGGCTTTTTTGTGTCTTATTGGTTTTTTTTTAATTTTTCTAATTAGTGCCTGTTTTTTCACCCTTATAATGATAAATTCTTCTAAAAGTAAGGTCTACTATCAACTGTGGTGATTTTTAGGGAGTTTACAGCACTTAAACTGACACATTTATTTTTTTCTTACGAATTTTCAAAATATGGTCGATAGAAAAAGGATACAAATCTCTTTATCATTCTTATGTGTGAGTGATCTGAAGTTTTTCGGTTTTTAACAGTGGTCTTCCTTCTTGAGCATATTAATATCTACCGATTAATCTGAGTAGACCCACCCCCAATCAGAAATATGTATCCAAGTAAGAAGATAAAAGTAGTCTGAAATTCATAAAACTATAATATAAAAAATTGAAGTTTTATTATGTATTTATTATGATTATAGCTTATTTTCACAACAATATTATTATTTTTCATAACTATAAAGCTCACTTTTTGCTGAAATAGTCTTATTATTATGAATTAGTATAAAGTTTTGTAGGTTTCAACTACTTTCAAATTGAAAAACGCAAAAAAGGCCCAACAAAAAAAATCAATTAACCCCAATAAAACCCACTGGGCTGTTTTTTTTTTTTTAACCGGGTTTTTTCACCCTGGATTGATTTATTAATAATCAAATATTAAGATCCTAGCGAATAATCAAAAAAGATCAAAGCAAATATGGGCAGCTGCTGAGTGATTGATTGATAATCAAATATTAAGATCCAAGCAAATATGGACAGCAGCTGATTGTTTGATAAGTTTATTGATAATTAAATTTTAAGGTCTCAGCAAACATGTGCAGCTTTCTGATTGATTAATTTATTGTTATACTAATTTATTTTAAGATCCCAGCAAACATGGGCGGCTGCTGCCCAGGCCGGAGTGTTCGCTGATGAAATTGCAGCTCTTAAGATAAAAACAAGAAAGGTGAACTTAATAAAAATATTTTGTTTATTCTAGTCTGGTTCCAGCTGAGGAAAAGAATGTTTATTACAGAATTACTTTTACTGAGCAGCCTCAATGTTCTCTAGCTTTTGACCAGAACGCCAAAAATCATAAATATTCGCTCTAACTTGACATATTGTTTATGTTTATGTTTAAGTGGTGTTGATTCTCAGGACTCCTATTGGAGTATAATGAGAATTATATTAACTTGTTTTTTGTGGGACTGCAATATCACATCAAAGCTTTAGTCCTTTCCCTTCAACTTCTGTGGGGGCACTGGGTTTGTTTACATTCCTCCCACAGAGTACAGTACACAATTTGCGTAGATCTGAGTTGAGCGTTCCTGTATATATTTCCTTGATTTTGCCAAGGTACTTTCGACACAAGACAGTGATGATATATAATACAGGGTGAGGTAGTGTTTGATACTGATGAGCATCCTAAACCTAAAACTACCCTGGAACAGTTAGTCAAGCTCCCAACAGTTTTCAAAAAGGTAAAAATAGATTATTTATTATATTATTTTAAGCTACTGTTATTTTTTTGTATTGTTTTTTAAATTTTTTTCTTTGTGTAGTTAATTTTTAACTTGATTATTATGTTGTTGTTAAGTCAAAAAGTTGGTGTAGTTGTAGTTGCAGTCGTTGTTGTTGTTGTTTAAACTTTGATTCAATTTAGTATATTATAGAATGGTGTAGTAACTGCTGCCTCTGCTAGTGGTATCTGTGACGGAGCTGCTGCAGTTATCATTGCAAGGTCATAAATTTACACACATACACCCCCCCCCCCCCCTGTTTCTGGATCAGGACTTATGAAGCTTGGTACTTGATAAGTATATTGGCTGGTAAAAATTATTAACTGTGTATTTGTAGTGAGGAAGCTGTTGCAAAGTATAATCTGACCCCTCTAGCTCGTATTGCTGGGTATGGAGTTGCTGGCTGTGATCCTACCATTATGGGAATAGGTCCCGTACCTGCCATTGGTAAGTATAATTATGCGCAGTCATTTGTAAATAAGGTAGTACTCTGCTATTGTGTATTAGTAAATGCAATTTTACTTTGCCATTGGTAAATAGGATAATACTCTTACATTGGTAAATATAATTTTACTCAGAAAATTAGTAAATAGATTAATACTCCTCCATTGAGAAGAGCAGGGTTACCAACAAAGGATAAGACTTAAATGACTACCTAAAACAGAATAAAACGGCATGCAAGCTGAAAGTCATTTGTCTGTAATAAAGTCATTAAAGAGTTTATTTAATGTTTAAGCACAAAACACATGTACACTGTAAAGCTGCAGATACTAAATAATCCCCACAGTCGTCTCTGAGGTCTCATCCTTTGAAGGTTATCGGTTTGAAGGATTCTAATAGTATTTATTTTATGTCTTTATTTTGTCAAGATCACTTCTAAAATATTGTTTTCTTTTGATTGCTTGTTAACGATTCTATTTAGAACAAGGGCATATAAAATATTTTATCTTGGTGAGGATTTCTGAATTATGATAAGATACTTTTGATGACGACAGAAAATGTTTTTGAACTCTACATTAATCTTCTAAAATTACAATTAAGGGTTTCATTTACAATACGATCGTGAAAATGAACAGAATGAAAATCTTTTAAGGGAGTAACCGGCATATGGTAGTTGAACTGAGAATGTAGTATTGTGGAGAATGTCGACTTTGCGCTCAAACTCCGTAATTATACATCATTAAAACGTTTTATATGTCTCAAATGAATCCTAAAAACTTCTCCACAATACTACATTCTCAGTTCAATTACCATACATTGCCGATCACTCCCTTTAAAGTCCGTGAATTTGAACTGAAAAAAGCTCTTTAATTTCGGTGAAAGTAAACTGAAAAAAAAAATCTTTAAATTCCGTGTTCAGGTGTTATGCTGGAGAAGGCTGGTTTAACTCTGGGTCAGATTGATCAGATTGAGATCAATGAGGCTTTCGGAGCTCAAACCCTGGCTTGCCAGAAGGCTCTGGATATACCCATGGAGAAGCTGAATACTTGTGGCGGTGCTATTGCTCTAGGACATCCTCTTGCAGCCTCTGGGGCAAGGTACAGTTGTCGGCGTTTATATCAATACAATGAAGACGATTTTTATACTTAACTTATGATTTTTAACATGCTTTTTGCAAATTTAAAGTTTTAAGTAAACCTCTTTGTTTCTATGTTCTTGTGAATCCTTGGAACAAGCTTGGTTGAATCAAAAATTTTAATCGACAATCGTCTTCATTGATTTTACGAGACGATTTAGTATACACAAAAAATACGAAAGTATCTGCACACTAAGTTTCTTATTCTGATATCTTAGCAACCTGATGACTTAGTTTTTTTTTGATAAATTATATTTCAATACTGCAGGTCTACGACATTATGTTTTGATTTTTTAAACAAATTCTTCTTAATTTTTTTAAATGGATGTTATAAAACTGATTTCAATGATCTGTAAATATAAAAAGAGAATGATTATATACTAAATACATACAGGGTGTCTCAAAAAAACGGGGGATAAGGCTCCTAAAGTTTCCAACTGGAGTGAGTAAATTTTTTAAAAATAAAGATAATCTCCGTTTGCACATAAGGGTCTATACAGACTTGTTTGCAATCAGATTTTCAAGATTGAGACCAGTATTGATATCTATGTACAATTCTGAGTCCGAGTCCAACTTTTAGCTTGTAGATCTAAAAATAACAATGGTACTGTAATAAACTGTAACCAAACTTTGAATGTAAAATTGTGCAAACAGAGATTATCTTTTTTTACCTAATTACTCACTCCATTTGGAAACTTTAGGAGCCTATAAAATTGTTAATTTAAATCTGCAGGCCTATTATATCTGAATTTGTACGTAGTTTTTAAAAATGGTTTCAATCTTGAAAATCCGATTACAAACGAGTCTACAGACCCTTATTCCCCAGTTTTTTTAAGTCACACTGCATATTTATATAAATTTTCTTGCTTCTTCGAATCTTCCAAGGTTGTTCGATCCAATTAGATATTTGTATTTTTTAATGAACTTGATGATCGGTTAATCCTTTGCTTTGCTCTTTTAAATTTTGTTATTGATTAAATACTATTAATTTTTTAGAATCTCCGCCCATCTAGTACACAAGCTCCGCCAGAATAAGCAAAAGTACGGTATTGGGTCTGCCTGTATCGGTGGCGGACAGGGTATCTCAATTCTCTTCGAAGCTGTTTAAACACCATTATCTTCATCATAGCATTTTAGTTCTGTATTTTAGATATTTCTTTGTAATCATGTTTTATTATAAATGCAATAAATTTCTATATTATTAATCATGATTAGATGAAGCTCAGGCCAAGGTGGTTCGTTGAGACATGGACTGTGTTTTCCCAGATTTGAAGTTTGAGTATCTAAAATAGTATATTTTACAGAGAATTTAAACGTAATTTTAAGCAACGTATTAAAGTTAGTGTGGTTAGAAGAAGAAACCGATCTTATTTTTTATTTAAAAATACGATCGAAGTGAGACCCGTGGCCGAATTTAAAGAATTTGAGCGGCGGTTTAAGTTTAAGCCGCGGCTTAAATTTGGATGGTTCCAATCAAATGTTTCAAGATTTAAGCCGGCGCTTAATTTAAACCGGGGTTTCGCAGATTTAAACCGCGGCTCAAATTCTTTAAATTCCATCTCCGTGCTTACAGGGGCGTATTCAGGAATTTGTCCAGGGTGCTCAGCAGTGTTTGAATTAAATAAACGGCTGAACTGATCGGGCCCAAATTATTTATGGCAACTTGCATGAAATAAAAAAATGTCTACATTTATTAATTTTGAAAAAGCATTGGTCCTCGAAAATTTATGATACAATTATAAAGAATAGATGGCGACTTGTGAAGCAACATTTAAATGTTAAAATTTATACTAGAAAAGGGGGGCGCATAGCGCTCTGTTAGCCATGTAAGAATTAAGAGAAAATTACTTACACTGAGATGTATTTATTCAAGTCTGCCGCGGAAACTGATGGTTTGGTTTCTCTGGCAGCTTGAAGTAAACTCTCCTGGGTTATCCAAACCTTGGAGCTTTCGTCCCTACTCTGAACCTTGTCTCTTGATAAGGATTCGTTCTTGTTAATGCTAGTCTGCTGAGCAGTGTATAGAACTGCTTTCAGGTCAGCTCCTGACAACCCATCTGTTAGGTCAGCTATCGCGGGTAGATCAACGCAGTCAGCTTTATCTAGATCTTTACTCAGTTTCCTGCGAATTTTAATACGTTTCTGTAAATCGTATTTATGCCCCGTTAAGAAAGGAACTTAACAGTTCCCTTAAACTATAATTTTTTAAATTCTTTATCTTTTCAACCTGATGGTATAAAACCTTTAATTTCAAACTCTTACTGCTTGATCTAGCAGAATTCGTGGTTTGAATAATCAAAGGTCTACAACATCAGGTTATAAAGATATTAGGAATAGAATTTGAGGCAAGCCTTTAGTCACATGTTGGAACAAACGGAAAATAATGAAATATTTTAAGCTCGAAATAAACATCCAGTAAATGAATTAAAATATTTACAGACCGTTTTCTAAAAAAGTATATATACAGAGTGTACCATTTCATAATGGATTTTTTCTTAACTTTTTAGGTTTAACACGTTCAGAAAACTCATAGAACTATGTGTTACATGTAAAACTTAATTATAGTTGCCTTATAAATTCTTACAAGTTTTCTGTAAATGTCTCAAAAATTATTTAGAACTATTACGATCCAACATGTATTAACCTGAGAATATCCAACCTATCCTCTGCTCCGGGTAAAGGACACAGCACTGATTTATCAATCCTACCAGGACGGACTAAAGCCGGATCTATAAGGTCTGGACGAGATGATGCTGCGATTATCCAGACTCCGTCTAGTCCCTCTACTCCGTCCAGTTGGGTGAGAAGCTGGTTCACAACCCGGTCAGTTACTCCTGTGCTATCATGTCCTCGCCTTGGAGCTAAACAAAACCTTTGCAATCTTTAATTAAGGAGAAGGAGGAGGCTGGGGTTTGTATACACATTTTAATCAATAACCATTATCGGAGCCAACTTTTTTATCAGTCCTTACAGCTAAATATTAACAAATTCAATCCTCCTATCTTGGTGTCTGTTCGTATAGAAAATATAGTTTATATTTTCGCATTCCATAAAATAAACATAAAACTATTTTTGACGGGAAAACTGTCTCATAAAGGATGAAAGAAATAATGGTTGCTTGTATAACTTTTTGATCATTTTTTATCTTACCCAAGCTGTCGAACTCGTCAAAGAAGAGAAGGCAAGGTTTTGCCGCCTGGGCTCGGAGAAAAATATCTCTAACATTTCTCTCACTTGCTCCGATATACTTGGAGAGCAGTTCCGGACCCTTGATGGAGATGTAGTTCAGATTACTGTAGGATGCAATTGACTCCGCTAGCAAAGTTTTCCCTGTTCCAGGTACTCCATAAAGCAGCACTCCCTTGGGCATCCGTACTCCAATCCTCCTGTAGATATCCTGGTGCAGGATTGGCCAGATCAGGGTTTGTATTAGGGTACTCTTCGCTAGCTCTAATCCTCCAACATCAGCTAGATCTCGTTTTATCGCTGGTTTCAGCGGTTTTCCCCATTTTGAGAGCGGAGTAAAATCATCTATTTCTCCTTGAAGGGTTTCTGGACCGATATTATCTCCCAAAGAAAGGATTTTTTCACAAAGCATTCTGATATCACAGGGATAAAATGATTCTAGGGAAACTGAGTCTAGAGCTGAGAAAGTATCCTTGAGATAGAACTTAACTAATCTATCTCTTTCCAGAGCAGAAGGGGGAGTTAGGTTCACTGTGTAAAGGAATGGAATTGATCCTTTCTTAGATTGGAGTTGGGGATTTAGACTGTCAACCGACTCAGCTATACCGACCACCATGATACCTCTAGGCAGAGAGTTCAGTAGCTCTTTGATCCAGGAGGATATAATGGTTGAGGTTTCATCCTGGTTTTCCTCCTGGGTTGGACATGCGATACACTCGAGGTTGTCTAGGATCAGTATTCCTGGTTTAAGGGTTAGAATTTCCTCTACTCCACCTCGTATCTTACTCTTGACAAAATCAAGTCGTTTGTTCTTGAGAACTGTGCAGTTTATATAAACACTGGAGACAGTGAACCTGGATGAACAAAACTTCTCCGAGAGGATTCCAACAAAAGTTGTTTTACCGGATCCGGATCCTCCGGTAACCAGGAGATGAACAGACCTAGAGATAGTGTTATTTAGTCCAATGGATGCTGAGATAAATCTTTCACAAGTTTCAAGTTTTTCCATGAAAATGTCGGAGACATATTTCTCCTTATTCTTGTAAAATGTAAGTTTTGGATTTTTGTAGTTTACATCAGATTTAGTCGAACCTGATTGTACGATCACTCTGCATCCCGGAGTAGTGATAATAAACTTTAAATCTGGTTCTACCGACACAGTTCCAGTACAATTAGTCACCGCTAGTGGGCTTTGATCACTAAAAATATGACTATCCTTTTCAAACAATCCTTGAAAATCAACCTCAACCGTATGTTTTTCTGAATTTTGAAATATTTTCAATCTGATTTCTGCAACAAGATTATAATTAGTTTGGTCTGCTGTCAAAGATTGCAGGAATATTTGACTCCCAATGGCTAAATGTTTACAATGTATCAGAAGAGGAGAGAGGTATACAGTTCCAGGTTCAAGGTTTTCACACATATCCACCCTTACGTAAACACTAGTCAATTCCTTGGATCCGTCCTCCTTCTTCTCCAACCCTGAGAGTTGAGCGAAGAAGTATAGTTTGCTCGTCTCAAAACTAGAGATCCGACAGAGTGTAGATACAGTGATCGAGCTATCAACCTGAACTCGAAGGAAACCTTTAAATTTGGTTAAAAATAAATTCGGTGTTAGCTTGTTTTGAGCGGAACTATCAGAACTTTTATTAGCAAACCAGTCAAAAAAGGGAAACGCAGTAAATTTCGTTTTATTTGTTTCATCAATGGTTGGTAGAGGTTCATCAAAGTCTTCAATCTCATCCTCGGAGAACTCAAACCCATCCTCGTCATCCTCGAAAGGATTAATGATCTCCAGCTCAGTCGATTGTTGGAGGATTACTGCAGGTTTATCAGGGACTAATGCAACAACTTTTAACCTAAAGAGGATTAACTTGTTATGAAATATGCCAAACGTGGAGTATGAGAAACGGAGATGTAGGATGATTGATTGAGGAAAGAGGGTAAAAGATAAAGCATTAAGTATTAAATCATAAATCATAAAGGTTCAAGGATAAAAGATAATGGATTTAAGGATAAAGAATTAAAGGATATAGGATTAAAGGATAAAGAATTAAAGGATAAAGGATTAAAGGATAACAAATAAAGTAAAAGCATAAAGGATAACAGATAAAGCATAGATTAATTAAAATAACAGATATGCACTAGATGTCGTCGTAGAGAAGGGTCTTGTAATTCTACGAAGACTAAGCGAAACTTCTCACAGGGTGAGAGTTTCATTCAAATCTTGAAAAGACGACATCTATTGTCCTATCTGTTGTTTTAAATAATCTATGAGATAAAGTATATTTTATAAGTATAAAGGATGAAGAATAAACCAGTAAGGATAAAAGATAAAGAATCATAGATTGAGGACATAGGATGAAGGATGAAGAATGAAGGATGTAGGATTAAGAATGAGAAAGATGTAGGATTAAGGATGAGAAGAATGAATGAAGAAGAAAAAAGAATGAAGGATGTAGGATGAAGGAAGAAGAATGTAGGATGAAGGATGAAGGATGAAGGATGAAAGATGGAGGATGAAGGATGAAGGATGAAGGATGAAGGACGTAGGATGAAGAAGGAAGGATGTAGGATTAAGGATGAGAATGAAGAAGGAAGAAGAAAAAAAGGATGTAGATGAGGGAAGAAAAAAGTAGGATGAAGGTGGAAGAAAGTAGGATGAAGGAAGAAGGAAGTAGAAAGTAGGATGTAGGATGAAGGATGAAGAAAGTAGGATTTAGGATGAAGGATGAAGAATGAAGGATGAGAAGTATGAAAGAAGAAAAATAAAGAATGTGGGATGAAGGATGAAGAATGTAGAATGAAGGATGAGAAGGATGAAGGAAGAAAAATTAAGGATGTAAGATGAAAGATGCAGAATGAAGAATAAAGGATAAAGGATGAAGGATAAAGGATAAAGGATAAAGGATAAAGGATGAAGGATGAAGGATCTAGGATGTAGGATGAAGAAAATAAGATTAAAAAGAGTAATGACGGCTGTATTTAGAATTGATAAATGATGAATGAAAAATAAATGATAATAAAGCATAGAATGAAAGATGATAAATAAAAATGAAGGATTGAGAACAAAGAAGTAACGATCATAAATAAAATGTTAAAGATAAAGGACTCCTGAAGAAGGATCAAAGCCGAAAGGATAAGAATAAGGATGCTCAAAACGAAATTGAAAAAACAAAAGATAACCTTAATTTTATCGATTTCACATAAATTTGAATTATCGATTTCCTTTGAAGAACTCGAACTTGCTCTAGGATTGATTGTTCCACGCCTAAAAAAAGTTAAAAATTGCAAAATATATTTCATATTCTTTTTATTATTTTCTCTAGCCTATTTTGCCCAGTGACTACTCAAGATATCTATTTTTTTAATTAGATAAATATACTAGTTAGAATGTTATTATTATTACAGTGATAACCAGACAACTTTTGAATAGGAAAACGACAAATTATAGCACTACTTAAAGGGTCTGTAAAGGAAAAATGAAAGGGGTATAGGCTTTCACTTGCTATCACTTTAGCTCTTGATTGCGACCCATGAAAGTTTTATCTGATGTTCCTGTCTCGAGAAATTGATATAAAACTGTGTTAAAATTATACGAAAGTTCATATATATAAAAAATTTTTGAAAATCTTAAACTTAAATCATATGACCAGAACTATCACCAATGGCAGAGCAGTATACTGGTAACGTGTCTCCGCCTGTATCACGTGACCACTTTACTCAACTGCCGTTGGTGGAATTTCTGGTCAAGCAATTCGGACGTATAAACAATATTATGAATTAAATCTATAAAAAATAGAAATAACAAAAATAAAATTAGAATTGGAGTAAACCTAAGTTACAATTAGCTTTCTCTGGGATATCATCGTTTTCAGATTAGTTGCTTATTTGCTGAATTTGATCTTTTAAAACCCACTACTTTTATACAAAATTGTATATATATTAATTTTCGTATAAATTTGCCAAAGTTGTATATCAATTTCTCGAGATAGGAACATCAGATATAACTTTCATGGGTCGCGATCGAGAGCTAAAGTGATCAGCTTTCAGCCTATACCCATTTCATTTTTCCTTTACAGTCCCTTTTAGTGTATTTGATATTGTTACAAAGCAAATAATTCTACCATACACTAGATCATTATTTTAGTGAAATGGGTCTGTTAACATTATACATTGCAGCTTTAAAAAAATGACACGAAAAACTGGAATCTTCTGTAAAACTTTAAGAAACAAAATAATTACAAAAAAGGTAAGTGTTCACTGGAATCTTTACCATTTTGGTTAAGTTTAATGATATCCCAGTCAGCTGGTGATGCTGGAGAAACTGAAACCCTCTCTGCTGAACCTATCTCCTCTCTCCGGGGTTTCTCCAACCTTACTTCGGAGCAGGATCCTAGTCCTAACATTGATCCGACTTCAATCGTGTCCGCCTCTTCATTACTTTTACCTAAATATTCATACTTATTCCTTAGTAATCTATATATATATATGTATAATATATATATTATATATTATATACTTTACTTGTCTGTCAGTCTGTTTGTTTGTCTGTTTATATCCAATAAAAATCAAAACGGCTGAACCGATCGGGCCCAAATTTTGTGTGGGACCTCACATGACCTCAGGGAAGGTATATGGATGATCAAAATTTCAAACATTTGCCTCCAACAAAATTCGTTTTTAATAAATTTTAAAAATCCACGAACTTTTAATGTTGTTTTACAATATATACAAAGAAAAAAAGTTCACAATTCAAATATAAGATGAGCGCGAAGCGCCCTGAAATCCTTGTACATTTATAAAGTATTAATTTCTGTTTGTGTGTCTGACTGTTTGTCATAACTCAGGAACACATGGACTGATTTGCCGCAAATTTTAATTGGAAAACTTGGTAAAACCACAAGAATGTTCTTAGCTTGTTTTAAAAACTCCAAGTTGAGTGGGTTGACTCAAGACTAATTGATGGGTTCTCAAGCTATATGACTAGTATAAGTTTAAAAAAATAATATTTCCAATCTTCAACTAGCTGTACTAATGAGAGTAGACACAAGGAAAGGTGAGAATGTTTGTTTACATTTCACTGTGACGTATTATGTTTATTGTAAATACACAAATACACATGAGACCCCCTTGGATGAAGGGGGATGAGATTAGTGCAATAAAGAGGAAGAAAACTAGATGGAGAGTATTTACCAAATCTCAAAAACTCAAAACAAACAGGACTTTTTACTTTATAAAAAAGCAGAAAAAGAGGTTAAACGAAGATACCAGGCACGATATGAGACCATTGGAGTTAAAAACGAGTTTTATCATTTGCAAAGGATGCATAGATGCATAGACTTGTATAAGAAATATATACAAGTTTATATACGGCTGCATAGGATGCATAGTTGCATAGATGCATAGACCTGTATAAGAAATATATACAAGTTTATATACGGTTGCATAGGATGCATAGATGCATAGATGCATAGATGCATAGACTTGTATAAGAAATATATACAAGTTTATATACGGCTGCATAGGATCCATAGATGCATAGGATGCATAGACTTGCATAAGAAATATATACAAGTTTATATACGGCTGCATAGGATGCATAGGATGCATAGACTTGTATAAGAAATATATACAAGTTTATATACGGCTGCATAGGATGCATAGGATGCATAGGATGCATAGACTTGTATAAGAAATATATAAAAGTTTATATACAGCTGCATAGGATGCATAAAATGCATAGATGCATAGACTTGTATAAGAAAATACATACAAGTTTATATACGGCTGCATAGGATGCATAGGATGCAACTACTTGTATAAGAAAATACATACAAGTTTATATACGGCTGCATAGGATGCATAGATGCATAGACTTGTATAAGAAATATATACAAGAATATATACGGCTGCATAGGATGCATAGACTTGTATTGGAAAATATATAAAAGAATATATACGGCTGCATAGGATGCATAGGATGCATAGATGCATAGACTTGTATTGTAAAATATATACAAGTTTATATACGGCTGCATAGGATGCATAGGATGCATAGATGCATAGACTTGTATAAGAAATATATACAAGTTTATATACGGCTGCACAGGATGCATAGGATGCATAGGATGCATAGACTTGTTTAAGAAATATATACAAGAATATATACGGCTGCATAGGATGCATAGGATGCATAGACTTGAATAAGAAATATATACAAGTTTATATACGGCTGCATAGGATGCGATACCAGACTGGCCTCGAATATCCTCAATCTAAAGCATAAAAGTTTTAATAGTGAATTGAGAAAACACTCTTTTAGTGTTAGAACTCCCAAACTTTGGAATGAAATCGATGACAGTGTTAGATCTTCTAAAACTCTGAACAGTTTTAAGAGAAAATATGACGAGATGTATGGCCCAAAACATAACTAAATGTTTGGGGCCAACAAAAGCCCATGAACCGCTTTACATGGCCACGCATGTGGCTCTCCTAGCGTGCACAGGCCAAGTAACCAAGTAACCAAGTAACAACATTAACAAACCCCGTCAAACTAACCTAAATCATGTCGTAAGATTGAAGTCTTATATGTTTTATCATAAATCATTTTCTTTAAAGAGCTATTAATAAGAACAACGTTTTCTTGAATTTCTTATATGTAATCAGATAAATTAGTATTTATTATACTACGAGGTCGCAAAGTTGTAACTAGTAATGTCATATAAATTTGACCTTTGCCTCCTGGCTAGTTTACATACAACATAAATTAGTATTTATTATACTACGAGGTCGCAAAGTTGTAACTAGTAATGTCGCATAAATTTGGCCTTTGCCTCCTGGCTAGTTTACATACAAAATAAATTAGTATTTATTTTACTACGAGGTCGCAAAGTTGTAACTAGTAATACAACATAAAGCAGTGATTCTAAGCTAGGCCATCCTGCCCTGCCAAGGAAAACGCCGGTCTTAAAAAAATATTTATTTTGATAAAATTACAGGGTGTCCTACATAATATTAGATCGTTTATAGCTTTAATTTGAGATTTTTGGTCAATTCAAAATAATAAAAAAATGAATTAAGCTAATATTAAAATTTGTATGCAGAAAATACTACAGTTAAACCCTAAATAAGCCATAGATCGAAAGAATTCATCAAATGTCATATTCTTCACTTTCTTATCGCGGAATTTTTTTAATTAAATGATTATATGGAGCTCTCTAAAACTGTTCCCGCATATTCATGGTTATTTATTTATTTTCACAAATACTGAGATTTACGTGAAATAGTAAAACCATTGAAAAATTTTCACGACATTTGATAAATTCTTTCGATATACAGGTCATTTAGGGTTTAACTGTAGGTTTTTCGAGTATTATGTGCGTTAAAGCTTAGAGATAATCCAATATGATATCGAACGCTTTATAGTTCAAACTCCAGTCCTAATTCGTTATTTCAAAATGTGTACACAACCCCTATCCCCTCTCCTTGGTTATAAATATCCTTGCAGTGTTCAATGTTTCTTGTATAAATAAATTACAGGGTGTCCCAAAAAACATGGAAATTCAGTGACGAATTCGATATCGTCTTTTCAAATAATTCTTTGATTTAGTATAGTGATACCTACTGAGAAAGCTGTAATCTGTAAGAGTTTCGTCTGCTATGTTTACATTTTGTTTGTTTATGTTTTGACTGCAACCGGTTGTACTTAGTATTACAGTATACAAACAGAGTAAACTTGTCCGTATTCACTGTTCATCTTGTGGAGACATTATAGACACATCTTTGCAGTCTTTTACCCTTTTCATTAAATAAACTCTAGCAGACATAATAATATTATGGCTTTTGAAATTAGGTATAACAGTGCTAATTCATAACAAAGACGATATCGAATTCGTCACTGAATTCCCATGTTTTTTGGGACACCCTGTATTTAAAACAGTAGTATATCTGAGCTTGGGAACGTATAGTGGATATCGATATCAATGCTTGATCTCAATTTATAGTCAATCTGCAGATTAACTAATCTTTATTAAATTTCCGCAACGCTATTGTACCCAGAGCTGAAAACTTTAGAATGAAATATCCAGATATCCCGTCGAATAATTAATCTGGAGTTTAAATTCATGTGGAGAACAAGCAATATTTAATCTGGATATTAATTTAAGAAACTCTTTCTCTGGATATCCAACACAAAAGTTTTCAGCTCAGAAAGGATAACTGAAATGAAGAGATTAAGCATTAATCCTCAAATTAAAAGTTCCAACAGTGGATACAGGAATCAAGGATCGAGATTATAAGTATCCAACACGCAAGTTCCCAGCTCTGTTCTAAGAGTTCTAACCTACTGAGAGGAATATTGGTTTTCCATCTTTAATCAGCTTAATCACAGGAACCTTAATACAATTCATATAATGGACATGGTAATAGACCTACAAAATATGGAGTAAACATAATGAAATTACATTAGTAGTGAAAATAATAGGTAAAATAGTAAATAATCCAACATTTTATCTGTATATAAATTAGTAATCTCTGTCAGTTTGTTTGAATGTCTGGTCATAACTCATGAACCCCTGGACCAATTAGATTCAAATATTGATTTGGGAACTTATAGAACCATAGAAAAGGGTTTGCGTTGAGTTGAGTGGGTTGACTTTTTTGATTTCGTAATTACAGTTCAGATTAAAGTTGGAAATGAGATTCAGGGGATTCAGAACGCTTGGATTCTTGATTTAAGATAGTTTTAGGAAAGACCTTGGTTCAGGTTTATATTAGAGATGGGTTTCAGGGTTTGGAATGTTCTAAATTCAGGATAAAAAATAGTTTTGGGATAGAATTTATAATTACAGTTCAGGTTAATGATTGAGTTAGGTATTCAGGGTTTGGAGTGTTCTATTTTCAGGATTAGAGATAGTTTTGGGATAGAATTCATAATTACGGTTCTAGGTTCAGGATTATAGATAGGTTTGGGATAAAATCTTTGTATGATTACTGCTCACTGCTCAGGTATATGTCAGAGATGAGTTTCAGGGTTTGGAGTGTTCTATATTCAGGATTAGAGATAGTTTTGGGATAGAATTCATGATTACGGTTCAGGTTAGTGATTATTCAGAGTTTGAAGTGTTGTGTTCCAGGTTCAGGATAAAAAATAATTTTAGAAAAGGATTAATAATTACGGTTCAGGTTAATGATTGAGCTAGGTATTCAGGGTTTAAATTATTTCTGATTAAGCTTTTCAATGTAAATTGTGCATAGCTTGGTTAAGAGTTAAGATTCAGGGTTTGGTCACTGGTGTCTGCTGGTTCGGGATTAATGAAGTTTTAGCAACTTTTAGGATTGGATTCGTAATTCGGGTTTATATTTGTTAAAGTAAGGACTCAGGTTCAGATTAATTGGTTCAAGAGTAGAGTTAAGTTGCTGGATCATAATAAGGACTTTTGGTTTGAATTCATGAATAATTAACGATAAGGGTTCTTTTCGATCAAGGTTTAGGTTGACAGTTTTGTTAAAAAATATAGATTTAGGAATTTCAAATTAGGAATGAAATGGGGTTATGAGGTTTTTATCATAATATGTTTAAGAATATCAGAGGGGGAACAATGCGGAATAGCCCCCCCCCCCTGAATAAATTCCATTCCACGCCCCTGTTCCGATACTTTTTTCTTGTTGAAAACATAATGTAAGTAAAAAAATAGTTTTTATACAAATTTTACCTCAAACAACAACAATGTGAAATCCCCCATCCACTTGCCGGGAATCGTAACAAAATGTTTTTCATATTCTATCTGTTTCAAATTACATAACACAGTGGAACTCATCTTACAACTTTGGTAAACAATTTATATCTAAATTTCAAGAAGCTCTACTGAGACTTGAGAGGTCTGAAAGATAAGAAGATGGCATGGAATTCTTTTAATAGGCCTACTCGGTCTACCTTACTTTGCGACATAAATAATTCGAAAGCAAGTTTTCAATGTTTACAATAAACTCTTATTGTACCGGGGTAGAAAAAATATTTTATTTTAACAAATAAACCTTTTTTAACATAAAAACTGTTTTAAAATTTTCTGCAATAAAAATATAATCTGATATTTAACCCTGTTTTTTTGTACTCTACCGGCTCCCCTCCCCCTTTCCCCCCCCACTATAGTCAGAGTCAGGTAGTCTTACCATTACCAACGAGTGTACAGTTTTCATTTTCAAATGCATGCACGATAATTTGAAAGACAGCAAAATGATCCCTTTGTTCAATTTTTTTGCGTCATTGAGGCTTTACTGTACTTGAAGGCCAAACTGACCTCGTAGTAACCTTTGTGTTAACAGTTAGTTCGGATAAGTCGGGTCTAAAGCTCTTTATTCTTTATTTAGTGTCCTTAAAGCAGCTTTTCACATCTTGCAGTTATTTTGTTGCATCTGATCTAGTCATGGTGATTTTTGTTGTAACTTTTCAGCCATTTCTATAATGAACGGTTCGAAAAAGTTATTGAAGTAACACAGTCGCTCCGGTCGCATGGATGGACACATATTGGGTCTTTCCTGGAGAACGATTTTTGGACACCCCCCCCCCACCGGCCTCCTCCTATCAATTTTGTACGTGACTACATTTATTTAGGGTTAATTTAGGTTAAGACACTTTCTGAGCCGAGCGCTGCGGCTAGGACAGGCTAGGGGGCCGAGTGCGGGTCTGTCCTAGTGAACGATTTTGGACCCCCCTTCTATCAATTTTGTACATGACCAAATTAGTATTTATTTAGCATTATTTAGGGTTAGGTAAAGGTTAGGGTAAGACACTTTCTGTGCCGAGCGCTGCGGCTTGGATTGGCTAGGGGGCCGAGCGCTGCGGCCACGGGTTAGATTAGTTAAGACACTTTCTGAGCCGAGCGCTGCGGCTAGGATGGGCTAGGAGGCCGAGCGCTGCGGCCAGGGGTTAGATTAAGTTGAGACACTTTCTGTGAGATCCATGTACAAAATTGATAGGAGGGGAGGAGGGACCCCGAGCGCTGCGGCCACGAGTTAGGTTAAGTTAAGACACTCTCTGTAAGACCCATGTTCAAAATTGACAGGAATCGTTCTCTAGGAAATCACCCATATGTTTGACCGATCCGTCACTTGGTTTTAGAGCACTTCAGAACCTGCATTACCGACACGACTTTGGACCTTGGAGTAAATTTTTATGTTAACAAAACATGAAAGAAATTCATAACAACTTTGTTCTTCTCTTAATAAGAGAAATTAAGATAAAAATATGTAAATTTCAATCTAACATGAAATTTAGCCTGTTTACTGCTATTGGTAAATAAAATTTAGAATATTTGTTTTCAGAATAAAATGATCTTACCTACATCTTAGATTCTTAGAACTTCTACGAATCAAATATGTATTCTCAACCCCCACCCCCCGTATCCCAACCTCCTCCTGGTATGCTCACTAACCCTGGGGCCCTGTTAGTCCGCCCTCCCTCTATGGGAACCCTTCCTGCAGGATTATCTCAGGGTTCATTACTCTGTGCTCCTCCTGCAGCTGTTCCAAATATGGCCCCCCTGCTCCATCTAGGACCCGGATATTCTCATTCTATCCATCAAGCCCCTCCACCCCAGCTTCAAAGTTCAGGATTATATACTCTTCCCCACACTCTTGTCTCCGCCCCGACCTCTCTACCGACTTATTTGACCGGAACCCAATCTGTTGTGTCCGCCCCAACCCTACAGTTTAATATTCCTCCGCCTTCACATTATCCTTGTGTGTCCGTCCCAACCTCATTTATACCTGGTAAAATTAATTGGCCTGCAACATATCCTAATCAACCCTACCAACAACAATTCCAACAAGTTCTTCCACCAGCTCTACCAGGATACGGATACACTTCCCAACCTTACACTCATCAAGAACCATCTATAAGAGAAATATCTCAATCCAGAGATAGATCTCCTGTGAGAGATAGATCTCCTATGAGAGATAGATCTCCCATCAGAAGAGATGAGATGAGAAGAGAGGAGAGATACAGGGATGAGAAACAAAGATGGGATGAAGAGGATCGGTATAGAAGAGAAGAGAGTAGGTATAGACAAGGACCCCCGGATAAAGATTCAGTTCGGAGTAAACCGGGAAGAGAGGACAGAGTTAGCACTGAGAGAAGATCTTTGGACAGGTTCTCCAGGAGTCGAGAAACCAGGATCAGTTTAGATTCTAGATCAAAGGAGAAGAGCAGAGAGTTAAAAAGATCCTTCGAGCATAAGAAACAGAAAGAGGAGTTTGAGAGAGAAAATGCTAGGTTGAGTCGCGAAACTCAACGGAAAGAGAATATTCCTTCATCCTACAAGAAGAGCAGTAAGGAAACCAACGATGCTTCACGTACTGGAGACAGAGATTCTCGACCTAGAACCGGAAGAACGGATAACTCTCCGCCCGAGCCGGAAAAAATAGGAAAAATCAGCAAAAGAAGGAATAGATCTAGTTCTGCTCGATCTAAACCAATTCTTCCGTCCAAAGTTAAAATTGAAGCTGAGGACCCGGTTGATACAAATAATATGACGCATGAGGAGATTATCGCAATGGAGAAAAAAGTTTGGATTCGATCCACACCTGCAGATCTTTATTATGAAAGAGATAGAAGCAACCCTGTTGTGATGAGATCAACTGCGAAATCTCGAGCTATGCATCAACTCTTTGAGGAAAATCTTCTCCGGGTAGGACCGGAAGCTAGAAATCAGTTTGCTGTGCGAGAACCACCTAAGGCCGTCGGAGCACGACATTGTCACGACTCTAGCTCCGACAGCTCTGATAGCGAAGATGAACCGGATCAAAAGTTTCGAGCCGACGCGATGGACTGGATGGATTTTCGATCCAAGGATCCAAACCGTCTTCATCCCGATATCTGGCAGAATATGCCGAATGAGATGAACGACGGACCGGCTTGCCGATGTCCTAAAAAGGCGCGAAACAGTGGAATCCGGCACAAATACTGGGTCGGAGAAACTGAATTGAACCCATTGGATCCGGAGACTAATAATCACAACGAACTTTTCCACTACAGGGTTACAATATCACCACCAACCAACTTCCTTATCAACCGACCCACCACGATCTATCACGATGAACATGAGTTTATGTTCGAAGGGTTCTCGATGTTTACTCGAAAAAGAATACCGAACCTGCCTGTTTGTCAGATTATTCGATTCAATATCGAGTACAGTATACTCTTCTTTGAGGAAAAAATTCCTGAAAATTTTACAATCAGGGACGATATAATTTCTACATTATTTGAATAGCGTATTACATTTTGATAAGTCTTCATATAAAAAAAAAACTTCAGCCCATTCGGTCCAGCCGTTTGGCCCAGCTATAGCTAACATCAAAAAATATATAATATATTTTCCAAAGTTATTAATAGAATGTTCAAGTTTTATGTGAGAAATCAGTAAAGGTTATAGTTTATTTTAATGTTTTATTGAAATTATAATCGTAAAGGGAGTTGGAGCTATTTCAAAAATATTTCTTTCATGAACTTCTTGAACTCTGGGACTGGGACACAGATCAAAGGTATAAAAAAGGGTTTTAAATTATTTAAAAATATTAAAAATCCTTTTATTCTTTAAATTTTAAGATTCAGTATTAAATGACTTGCCGTGGCAAGATGAATTGAAGTTTGTTTTCATAAATTAAAAAAATTTTCTGAACAAATTTTATTTTTTGGGGGGGGGGGATATTAACATTTTCAAATTTTTTTTTTCAGGTACTTCTTTATGCCGCGATTTGTCCGGAACCTGTCTGAGAACGGAAAGGAGGTGTTGAGCATGAACGAGGTGCTGAGCTACCTCCTCAACTCCTACACCTCCATAGCCAACACAGAGGACTTAGACTTTATCACAAAGTTAAAGAATGAGGTTATGATCATTATTTAATCAACTTAAAGAAATTGTAAGCGTAATTTCAAGTGACCCTACAAGCAAAGATGGCTCTTAAAAGATTTGTTTGATCAAGTATGAATTAGATATCAATATTTACAATTTTAAAACTGATTCTTTTCAACTGTGGGATCTATGCAAACTGTGAATTTTACTCTTGGGGACCAAATTTAATGAATTAGAGTTACGTCGCTGAACTCCCCCAAGATTAAGGAATGATCTGAATCGATGATTAAAATTTGAACCATTTTGTTTTATTTATTCATTATATTCGGTCCCGTGATTTATATGGCTAATAAGTGCTTATAATCTATTTTGATGGGGATTCGGATCCATCTTGTCTAAAACGGGGTCTCGTAGGAACTTGACCATTCAATGATCAGATAGGATTTCTAATGTTTAAACTATCCCAGGACTGGCAAGTGTTCGCAGACCAGATCAAGGGAATGCTGGTCAACTGTCCGGGAATGAAACCCTCAACGATCAGAGTCGATCAGTTGGATAGGTAGATAGATATATTTTTAAATATTTCAGTCTTATTTTTTAAATGGATTGATTGTCCTTAAAATTAACCTTCCAATGTCCGATTCTCAATGGTACCCTTTAAACCTTTAACTGATCAATAAGTGAAAGATATTGTCGTTTTTTTAGCTTGCAAAGCGTTTAATTCTTAAAATATTCCTTAATTGTTTCTGAAGCAGAAAGGCACAAGTCACTTAAATTAAAAAACTCATTTGGAAATAATCTATTTTTAAAACCAATACTTAACCCAGGGACCATGAAGATAAAGATAAACCTTGTTTCCCAGATATTGTTCATTTTGGTTTAAAACCACCTCAACTCTGTTATGCAGGTTAGTTTATTCTAATGATCTTAAACAAGATTTTTTCTTTTCTCCTCTCGGCACATATATATATATTTTGTTATGAATAGACTAATAAGGAAATACAGAGGCTGTTTGCTAACGATTGAAGTATAAAAGTATTATCCTTGTCAAGTTGTCACATAGGGTTACCCACAAATTATAAGTCAAATAACCTTAAATTCTATGCATGATCCAGAGGTTGTACTTTGGTATTTTACTGGCATATGTCATGATTTGGCGAAGAATAAAACAAGTGTAAAGCTGAAGGAAACCATGATTGTAGAAAAGATTATTATTAAATATATCCGTGTCTTTGAAGTCTCATTTTTTGTGGATAACCCTGCTTCTTCTATATAAAGCAGAATATCGAAATGTATATCATATATATGTGGTTAAGTGGCGTGTAACAGTAAGAAGATGTTACTAAAATCAAAAATTTCATATAACAGGATATGTTGCATAAGATGATTTGTTACACATAGGAGTTTGTTTTCAGCGATTTTTGCAACACAACGTTGTGAGTGGCACAACCATTTCAGAGCTTAATAATTTTTTTATTATTTCATAAATCAAAATCTTACAGGAAACCCTGAATACCAGAAGTTGTATCGAGAGTTTGTTAAATTCCGTCATCTGCTCGCAAACATGCCGAAACCAACGATGCTGGATAAAGAGAACCTAGAGAGCAAGGAGAAAGCTCTCCAGGAGATGCGGTCTAACGTGAAAATGAAGCGGGACACCACCGTGGTCGTCTCATCCAAGGGTTTCTATAAAACAGGATTAATGACAGATATTGTTCAACATGCTCTTCTCCTTCCTGTCCTGGTCAGCCATCTCCGGTTCCACTTCTCCCTGGACTACCTGGAGACCAAGATCAACTACAAGTTCAACAACAGGTTTCTTCTCCAGCAGGCGCTCACTCATCCGTCCTACAAAGAGAACTTTGGGACGAATCCTGACCATGTTCGGAACACGTTGTCGAACTGTGGGATCCGGCAGCCGGAGTACGGGGATAAAAAGGTTCATGTTCAGAGTGCCAGGAAGAGAGGAATAAACGTTCTCATAAATATCATGTCAAGGTTAGTGTTTTTAAAGCATTAAAAGGACTGTAAACGTAATTTCATGTTGCCCTCCATTCTTGAACATATCATTGTTATCAATCTGAAAATCTACACTGTTGAATTGTGAATTCTCTTTTTATGTCACTTGTGTATTTGTGAAGAGAAATAAGGAATAAAATTAACAGAATTCAACGATTTATGATAGAAAACTGACGATATCTTCCTTATTGTTAATCTGATATATGTTTATTGGGCTCCGTTTTGATTGGGGTATATAACTCTTTAAATGTTGGGTCATCTGAAATTACGTTTACTGTCCCTTCAAGGACATTACTTGTGTTTTCTTTATAGATACAAATATTACTGTTTTTATCTGATTGTTAATTGTGAACGTGTTAATATAAAAGAATTCTTTGTATCGAAGTTTTTGTTGAACTTTGTACTCTTTCCTTTCCCTTGCCAACTGTGAGCTCAATAAATGAACTCACTCAGCCAACACCAGACTAGTGATTTCAGATACTTAAAACCCCAATTGTCACTTAACACGGTCACCGGGGGTTTTCTTTCACTTTTAATGAATTATATTATTCTTTCTAATTCGAGTGTATAGACTGGAACTTGTGAATATTGGTTTCAATATAATTTTGAATGGTGCATTGTAAAGTATTTGTATCTGAGTTTGTACTTTCTTCCAGTAAACGATACACAATTCAAGAAAGCATTAAAGGTACTATCGACTTAATTTCAATAGATTTTTCATTTTAAGAGTTAAATGGCAAATTCGCAACTGTGAGGTTTAGCATTTGTCTTGAAAACAAGGAAGATATCATTGCTTTTAAATCTTGAACATAAATAAATTTTGTCATTTTTTTTCTCTTGTCCTTGCTGCATGAATCCGCAATTTAGATTCGGAAAGAAGATAGAGACGGAGTCTGCGGTGAAGCACAACGAGAGGTTGGAGTTTCTGGGGGACGCGGTGGTGGAGTTCATTACATCCGTTCATCTCTTCTATATGTTCCCGGACCTTGAGGAGGGAGGACTAGCCACTTACAGGTAAAAATAGTCTGTTAATCTATTTATAAATTTTTCAAGATTTTTAATCGGTATTCTGTTGAAGTTATCTTTATTAAAAGTTTGCACTCTTTTTATCCTAAATACTGGAAATACTATCTTTATAATCGTTTTTGGTTCGTTTTCGGCAAATGATATATTTTCTGTCAGGGTCCAAATTGGGCATAGTGTAAAAATTGTAAAAGCCACGCACCTCTGACCCTTTAGTAAAAGTAAATTCAACCTAAAGTCTGGCCGCGTCAACCTTGTTGCACCGGTTTGTCCTATTGAGTGTCTGCTTTATTTACCCAAAGGTTGACCCGGCTCGTAAATTCAAATGTACTACGGCTGCCCCCGTGAAGCAAATGTTTAAAAAAAAACCAATTTTTACACTAGGCAGAATTTTGACCCTGAAAGAAAATAAAGACAAAAACAGAAACAAACCAACTTAATGCAATCTGAATCCAAATATATTCTGTTTTTACTAAATTAATTTTAGATCTGCAATTGTTCTGAATCAGAATTTATCCTTGCTTGCCCTTGCTCTTGGTAAGTAAATAATTTTTATTCAATTTACGTTTCCTAAAAAATATTTGATTTTTCATCTGTATTTCACAGAATGCTAGATTGTCTTTTCAAAATAATATCAATAATGATATGATGTTTTATAATCCAAGAAACTTAGATATTTATTTTGTTTTCATATTTTATTCTAAATGTCTATTTGCATTTTAATTTTTGAGTAAAAAGTGGTGTTAGGATAAAATATATTGAGTCACTTCAAGATAACTACTAACAGCGCTCGTGGAGGATAAAGTCATACTTACGAATATATGATCGTATATGTAGAAAACACAGTTGAAATGTACATAATGAAAGGATGTACTGTTTTAATTAAATACCTGGAGAACCAGGAGACGTTTTTCCTGTTAAACTTTAGACCTTGAGAACTATATCCTGTTTAACTTTTAGACCTTGAAAACTATATCCTGTTCTAGTTTAGACCTTAAAAACTATATCTTGTTCTATTTAGACCTCAAGAACTATATCCTGTTATATATTAGACTTAAGTATATCCTGTTATATATTAGACCTGGAGAAGTATATCCTGTTATATATTAGACCTGGAGAAGTATATCCTGTTATATATTAGACCTGGAGAAGTATATCTGTTATATATTAGACCTGGAGAAGTATATCCTTCTCTATTTTAGACCTGGATAACTAATAACTATATCCTGTTCTTATTTTAGACCTTGAAAACTATATTCTTTCATATTTTAGACCTTGAAAACTATATCCTTCTCTATTTTGGACCTTGAAAACGATATCCTATTCTATTTTAGACCTTGATTACTATATCCTGTTCTATTTTAGACCTTGAAAACTATATCCTGTTCTATTTTAGACCTTGAAAACTATATCCTGTTCTATTTTAGACCTTGAAAACTATATCCTGTTCTATTTTAAAACCTTGAAAACTATATCCTGTTCTTTTTTAGACCTTGAAAACTATATCCTGTTCTATTTTAGGCCTGGAGAAGTATATCCTGTTCTCTCATGGATCAGATCTGTGTCATGACTCGGAACTAAAACACGCGATGGCAAACTGTTTCGAGGCATTCATGGGAGCTGTCTTCCTAGACGGAGGGATCAATATAGCAGATAAGGTAAATTTAGGGGGCGCAAGTTCCAACCCGTGCTTATGTTCAAAACCTGACACTGAGTGAGGTTTGGGCGCAAATAGTATGCTCAACGCTTTATTAACTCTTCCTGTGCCGCGTGCAAATATCTATTATAGAATCTAATTCCAACATATTATTAAGCACGACGAAAACTACAAATAACACTAAATTAAAACTATGAGCTGTCGTTCATTTTTAATAAAACCCATACCATTTTCGAAACATTTGCAAGGTTTTCCATTTTCGCACACTTCACGAATTCGAATCTTGGACGCGTTTTGGAGCATAAAAAACTTTCGCTATAATCCAATGAAATTAAATCAGAATGCTTCGTGCTATTTTATCCAATTATAATTTTATCTTTTTTGTTAATTTAGTGACTCATGGAAGCTTATACTTAGATTCAATCATTTTACTGCTATTGCACACACGGTGGATTATTTTTGTTTGGTAAATGACGATTAGCTTTGTTTACCAAGACTGTTGAAATTTGTGTAATTTTATCATTTTATGCAGATACATCTTAAATAGATAAGGACAAAAGTAGTTAAATAGTCATTTGTAGGATTTTGGTACGCTTAGTACAACGAACTATGTTCATGTGTTCAGCAATACAATGTCCATTACGGAGAAGGATATTAATGAACAATGTTCAGGTGTTCAGCACTGCAATATTAAGTACGGAGGAGGATATTGATGAACAAGGTGCAGGTGTTCAGCACTGAAATGTTCCGTATAGAGTAGGATTTTAGCGAACAATTTTCACGTGTTCAGCACTGCTATGTTCATTACAGAGCAGGATATTTATGAACAATGTACAGGTGTTCAGCACTGCTATGTTCATTATAGAACAGGATATTTATGAGCAATGTACTGGTGTTCAGCACTGCTATGTTCATTATAGAGCAGGATATTTATGAACAATGTACAGGTGTTTAGCGCTACTATGTTCATTATAGAGCAGGATATTTATGAACAATTTAGATGTGTTCAGCACTGCTATGTTCAATATTGATCAGGATATTAACTTATAATGTTCAGGTGTTTAGCACTGCACTGCTATAGAGTTTGGTATTAATGAACAATGTGCAGGTGTTCAGCTCTGCTATGTTCAGTACGGAGCCTGATCTGTTTGAAACCTGGACGGATATTCCTCATCATCCTCTCCAGACTCAGGAGCCTGGGGGAGACAGGCATTGGATTGGTAAGAGTTAGATTAGTTTTCTTCCTCATTAAATTTTGAAAATGGTTCCGGATCCACGTCATTTCTGTAAGATTTACTGAAAAATTTTAACAAAGAAGAATTTTCAAATTTTTTGTCTTATTTTTTTCGCTGATTTTTATGTTAAAACTTGATGAACCATTCAAAAATTAGGAAATTATTGTAAGCTTTTTTCAATAGTTTAGATTTTGGTTTTGAGAGTAAAAAAGTGTTTTATGCAGTTTTTGGTTGATATTTGCCCCTTGGATCCGGATCCGTGGATCCTAAGCACTGATTTGCAGACAGCATTATTTTTTTTAACTTTCCAGGTCCCAAATGTAATGAAAGGAGATAAGGTTTAACTACGTCGACCAAGTTGAATCATTGAGTACGCCCTCATAGCTATTTTTGTATTTGGTCCCAGAATGAATAGATATTAAAACTTATTTTTAAGTTTTTTTATTTTTTTGCACATCATACCTTATAAAAACGTATTTGTTACGCCATATTTTTGTGTTTATAGAACCATATTTTTAGCAAACTATTTGGATGAAGTTTCTAGTTTCCTTATTTGTTCTTATTTGAACATGTTTTTTTTAGATTATTTTAATATATAACTGTTTAGATACGTATCCGAATCTGCAAAAGCTAGTTCAGTTTGAGAATGAAACTGGAATTGAGTTTACTCATATCAGACTTCTAGCCAGGTAAGTTAGAGTTAGGGTTTCCAATTTATTTTTGGATCCGTTAAGGGCGCTTTAGCTTAGGGAACTGGAAGTGGTTTAGAAAAATAAGTAAATAATAAAGATTCAAGTTTGGCAGAAATAAGTAAAAGTTTTAGGTTAAATAAGTCTTAAAACGTTTAAACAGTAACATGTCCGATTTACAACGGTACCCATTAAACCTCTATTTTGTATTTGATTTACAATTAGAAAGATTTCGTCATTTTCAACTTGACGTGTTTAATTCTGAAAATTCCTCTATTGTCTCTGCAGTATAAAGCTCGCTGTTAAACACGTAACATTTTAGCATAAAAGGAATGTCTTACTCATCCTTATTCAGATAAAGTTTGAAAGGGGTAATATTGCATCTACAGTCTAAACTTCACAGTCCCCTTTCTTCAGTTCGTATATTACATGTTTTTTATATGGTTATATATATATGAATTAAGGTCGGATATTAGTTATCTGATATGAGGCTCATTTTCCCAAATTACTAAAATTCTTGGCAATTTAATCAGTAATAAGAGATGGAATTAGATAGAGATGGGTTTATAATGATGATGCATTTTCAAAATTATACTTTTCCAGAATTTATTAATCCGCAATTTATTATAATATCATCAAAAATCATTTTTTTTTTTGAGATTATTTCAACTCAATTTTCTATATCTAAATATCTAAATTGTATATTGAATAAAGATACATTCTTTAAGAATNCCTCCATGGATTAGAAATATCTGTGGTGTCCAGAGGGTTTTTAGGCCCAAACTGCTGCTTAGCCCCCTAGATATAAAAAATAATTCCCCTGTACAAATTCCCGAGTACGCCCCTTTAATATTATCTTATGAAGGGTTTCGGTCTGATGGGTGGTTGTCTCTGTAGGCATTAGGCGCGTCAAAATAAAAGATTGATTTTTTAAATATTTTGTTTTAGAGCGTTCACAGACCGTTCCATTGGATTCAACAACCTAACTCTAGGTTCCAACCAGAGGCTGGAGTTCCTAGGAGACACCGTCCTCCAGCTCGTGACCTCGGAGTTCCTTTACAAACATTTCCCGGACCATCATGAGGGACATTTATCCCTCCTCAGGGCATCATTAGTTAACAACAGGACGCAGTCCGTCGTCTGTGACGATCTCGGAATGACGCGCTACGCGTCCTTTCATATCCCGAAGGTTGAGTTTAAGGTGAAGGATAAGGCGGACTTACTGGAGGCCTTTGTTGGGGCTCTTTACGTAGACAAGGATCTTTATCATTGTCAGGTAAACAAATTTACGTAGAAAAGGATCTTTATCATTGTCAGGTAAACAAATTTACGTAGACCAATCATTGTCAGGCAAACAAATTTAAGGTGGCGGGATTCCACTTATTGTATTGAATAGCAATAAAGCAGTCAACCCGCAAAAGTCGTCTTTGTTATTTATTTACAACAATTACAAGTTAAAGAATCTCAAAATCTTTCTGTGAATTATTTTGTATTTCTCGGTCTTTGAAATAATTGCCGATTCTTTTTCAGGTTTTCGCTGAAGTCTGTTTCTTCCCAAGGCTTCGTCAGTTTATCCTGAATCAAGATTGGAACGATCCTAAATCTAAACTTCAGCAGTGCTGCCTAACCCTCAGGTATACTACTTTATTAGGATCCTAAACCTAAACTTTAGCAGTGCTGCCTAACTCTCAGGTATACTAGTTTATTAGGCTCCTAAATCTAAACTTCAGCAGTGCTGCCTAACCCTCAGGTATACTACTTTATTAGGATCCTAAATCTAAACTTTAGCAGTGCTGCCTAACTCTCAGGTATACTAGTTTATTAGGATCCTAAATCTAAACTTCAGCACTGCTGCCTAACTCTCAGGTATACTAGTTAATTGGATCCTAAATCTAAACTTCAGCACTGCTGCCTAACTCTCAGAGATACTAGTTTATTAGGATCCTAAATCTAAACTTTAGCAGCGCTGCCTAACCCTCAGGTATACTAGTTTATTAGTATCCTAAATCTAAACTTCAGCAGTGCTGCCTAACCCTCAGGTATACTAGTTTATTAGGATCCTAAATCTTAACTTTAGCAGTGCTGCCTTACCCTCAGGTATACTAGTTGGATCCTAAATCTAAACTTCAGCAGTGCTGCCTAACCCTCAGGTATACTAGTTTATTAGATCATAAATTACAACTTCAGCAGTGATGCCTAACCCTCAAAATCAAATTCGCTGTTCGGCGCTGATTTTCTCGCAATCGGATTAACAGTTTTGGAAAAGGTTAAGAAAATGTTTCTCCTTGAAAATTAAAAACACTTTGAGTATGTGAAAATCAATCAGTAATAAATGAAAATCAATAAAACGAAAGTATTGAAAAGAACCTTTTTTCAATAAAAAAATCTTTTTTAGAACCATGGACGGAAAGGAACCCGATATTCCCGTTTATAAGGTATGTTTTTATAATCTTATAATAGATAGATCGATGGACAGATAGACAGAAAGATTTTATTCCTTAGAAGACAACTTGATCATACAAATATAACAAATTCATTTCTTTTCAAGCATCAATATTTACGCTACATTGATCAATTTTGTTAAAGTTGGAAAAGAACAACAATTCTCACTTTTTCTCCTTTCAACTTTTAAACTTCACAGCACATCCAATTTTCAATGAAAAATTATTCTTTTTTTAAAGAAATCATGATTTTAAACATTTTAAATAAAAAATTGTAAATTTGCTTAAATCTTTCTTTTTAAAAATCATCTTTTTCTAACAATTTTCAATAGAGAAATACTTTAAAATTGTGTTCTTCATGTATTCAGGTTATTGAATGTAAGGGTCCAAGTAATACAAGAGTATACACCGTTGCTGTTTACTTCAGGTAAATTCATTCATTCATTAATCAACTCATCCTTCCTTTTATCATTCCATTCTTGATTTAATTTATCAATTCATGCATTCTTTCGTTTTATTCTTTGGTTCATTCTTTCCTTTATTCTTTGTTTCATTCTTTCCTTTATTCTTTGGTTCATTCTTTCATTTATTCTTTGGTTCATTCTTTCATTTATTCTTTGGTTCATTCTTTCTGTTTATTCTTTGGTTCATTCATTCATTTATTTTTTCGTTCATTCTTTCGTTTATTCTTTGGTTTATTCATTCGTTTATTCTTTGGTTCATTCTTTTGTTTATTCTTTGTTTCATTCTTTCATTTATTCTTTGGTTCATTCATTCATTTATTCTTTTGTTCATTCTTTCGTTTATTCTTTGGTTCATTCTTTCGTTTATTCTTTGGTTCATTCTTTCGTTTATTCTTTCGTTTATTCTTTGGTTCATTCTTTCGTTTATTCTTTGGTTCATTCTTTTGTTTATTCTTTGTTTCATTCTTTCATTTATTCTTTGGTTCATTCTTTCATTTATTCTTTGGTTCATTCTTTTGATTATTCTTTGGTTCATTCTTTCGTTTATTCTTTGGTTCATTCTTTCGTTTATTCTTTGGTTCATTCTTTCGTTTATTCTTTGGTGCATTTTTTCGTTTATTCTTTGGTTCATTCTTTCTTTTATTCTTTCGTTCATCCTTTAGTTTATTCTTTGGTTCATTCTTTTGTTTATTCTTTCGTACATCCTTTTGTTTATTCTTTCGTTCATTCTTTCCTTTTTTCTTTGGTTCATTCTTTTGTTTATTCTTTGTTTCATTCTTTCATTTATTCTTTGCGTTCATCCTTTAGTTTATTCTTTGGTTCATTCTTTTGTTTATTCTTTCGTACATCCTTTTGTTTATTCTTTCGTTCATTCTTTCCTTTTTTCTTTGGTTCATTCTTTTGTTTATTCTTTGTTTCATTCTTTCATTTATTCTTTGGTTCATTCTTTCCTTTATTCTTTGGTTCATTCTTTCGTTTATTCTTTGGTTCATTCTTTCCTTTATTCTTTGGTTGATTCTTTTGTTTATTCTTTGGTTCATTCATTCATTTATTTTTTCGTTCATTCTTTCGTTTATTCTTTGGTTTATTCATTCGTTTATTCTTTGGTTCATTCTTGTGTTTATTCTTTTCTTTGTTTCATTCTTTCATTTATTCTTTGGTTCATTCTTTCGGTTATTCTTTGGTTCATTCTTTCGTTTATTCTTTGGTTCATTCTTTCGTTTATTATTTGGTTTATTCTTTCGTTTATTCTTTGGTTCATTCTTTCGTTTATTCTTTCGTTTATTCTTTGGTTCATTCTTTCGTTTATTCTTTGGTTATTCTTATATTTATTCTTTCGTTCATCCTTTCGTTTATTCTTTGGTTCATTCTTTTGTTTATTCTTTCGTTCATCCTTTTGTTTATTCTTTCGTTCATTCTTATGTTTATTCTTTGTTTCATTCTTTCCTTTATTCTTTGGTTCATTCTTTTGTTTATTCTTTGGTTCATTCTTTCATTTATTCTTTGGTTCATTCTTTTCTTTATTTTTTCGTTCATTCTTTTGTTTATTTTATTCTTTCGTTCATTCTTTTGTTTATTCTTTGTTTTATTCTTTCCTTTATTCTTTGGTTCATTCTTTCGGTTATTCTTTCGTTCATAGTTTTATTCATCCTTTCATTCGCCTATTCATTCGTCACTTTTTAAAGGTATTTAAGTTACCTCTCATTTAAAGGTTGCAATTATCAGCACAAATGGTGGAGATATTAATATTAATATTGTAGAGGGGAAATATTAGCTAAATCTAAATAGCTCAATACAAATAGCGAATATATAAACATTGATATTGTAGAGGGGAAATATTAGCTAAATCTACAGGACACTCAATACAAATGGTGGAGATATTAATATTAATATTGTAGAGGGGAAAGATTAGCTAAATCTACCGAACACTCAATACAAATAGCGAATATATAAACATTGATATTGTAGAGGGGAAAGATTAGCTAAATCTACCGAACACTCAATACAAATGGTGGAGATATTAATATTAATATTGTAGAGGGGAAAGATTAGCTAAATCTACCGGGTACTCAATACAAATGGCGGAGATATTAATATTAATATTGTAGAGGGGAAAAATTAGCTAAATCTACCGGACACTCAATACAAATGGCGGAGATATTAAATTAATATTGTAGAGGGGAAAGATTAGCTAAATCTACAGGACACTCAATACAAATGGCGGAGATATTAATATTAATATTGTAGAGGGAAAAGATTAGCTAAATCTACCGGGTACTCAATACAAATGGCGGAGATATTAATATTAATATTGTAGAGGGGAAAGATTAGCTAAATCTACCAGGCATTCAATACAAATGGCGGAGATATAAATATTAATATTGTAGAGAGGAAATATTAGCTAAATCTACCGGACACTCAATACAAATGGTGGACATATAAATATTAATATTGTAGAGGGGAAAGATTAGCTAAATCTACAGGACACTCAATACAAATGGCGGAGATGAACGCGGCCAAGAATGCACTGAATGAGTGCTCTCATCTCTTCCCTCATCTCAGCTATCAGAAAAGAATTCTAGCGAGATCCTTCAAACAACAAGGATTTGATTTCGTCAGGTTAGATATCCGTGGATTATATTTCTTCAAATTTGTTTTTTCCAATAAACTTCAAACTGGTTCATTTTTTTGTGGGACCTAATACGGTCCCATGAGTAAAGAATTATTGGCCTATAAGGATTTAAAAATGTTCCTCTAAAATTGTTGGTATTTTTTTTCAATTTTTAATATTCAACAATACAACCCTGAAAATACGCCACGGCTTAGCATTCATGTTTTAAATGTTTTATAAAAAGGCGTGCAGATAGATCGGCAACAAGTTTTCCTATTTATTAATTTATTTTTAATCTTAATTATTTTTCATTTTTAGATATTTTCTGGAGTTTTAATTCAATCCTCATGATAAAAAATACAAGATACATTTAACTTGTATAACAGCTGTTTTATATTTAGGCATAATTGGTTACAGCAGACTAATAATAAACGTGAAGAGCTAGGTATGAACGTGAAGGAAGAAAAATTAGAAGAAAGCCTGACCTTTGATAATCAAGCTGCTAACCAGGAGCAAGGAGAAAATGTGGTTTCCCCCAAGAACATTACTGGAACGTTTAAGGAGGCTTCTACTAAAAGGAGCGATGATAAAGAGAAGGATAATGGTGCTTCAAAGAATGAAACACAGGCTGCCACTACCAGAAAAGAGGAAGATACAGCTGCATCTGCAAAGAAGGAGAAAGGACGGGTTGTAAGTCCTAAATCCAAGAATGCGCAAACTGAGAGTGTCAGAAAAGAAAAGGTGCGAGGGGAAATATCAAACAGAGATCCAGGGCGTAATGATAGGATGGGGAAATCTGATGTGTCTCTCAGAAAGGAAGAAAGACCACGTTCCTCTGTCAGAGAATCCGAAAGACGAAGTAAAAGTAGCAGAAGAGACGAATTGCGGATTCCAAGTTACAGAAGAGATGAGGAACGTATTTCAAGTGAATTAAGAGATGAGAGGCGAAGCACTAGTTCTAGAAGGAGTGAACGACGAGACTCAAGTGCAGGAAAAGATCAGGGGAGAAGTTTAAATGGGAGAATAGATCATAGACGTGATTCAAATACTAGAAAAGATCAAAGTCGTGATTTAGGAGCTAGAAAAGATCAAGTGCGTGATTCAAGTGCTAGAAGATATCATGAACGTGACTCAAGTGCCAGAAAAGACCATGAGCGTGGTTCAAGCACTAGAAGAATCCACGGTTTTGATTCAAGCTCTAGAAGAGATCAAGGCGTTGATCCAAGTAGTAAAAGAGACCAAGACCGTGATCCAAGTGGTAACAAAGGCCAAGACCGTGATCCAAGTGGTAAAAGAGACCAAGACCGTGATCCAAGTGGTAAAAGAGATCAAGGACGTGATACAATTACGCGAAGAGATTCCAGGGCCAGAAAAGTCCGTGATTCAAAAGTTAATACAGATGAGTTGTGTAGATCAGAGGACCAGAGCAGTCCTGAAAAGTGTAAACGAGACTCAAGAAACCCGTTTAAAGAACGTATTAGTGCTAAAAAGTCTGAACCTACGAAGGTTAAAGATAAAGTTAGGGTTTGTGAGAGAAAGCCGGAATCTGACCGATCTCAAGATAAGAGAAGAACCTCGAGAGAAGGCCGAGAGAAAAATAGTGAATCTGAAAAAAATCTTAAGTCTGAATCAGATACTTTGAAATCTAGCGAAACATTTCCTAGAAAACGAACGGAAGAACGAAGAAAGGATTTAGATCGGGAAAAGGCCGAAAGAGAAGAGTTAGTTCCAAAATCCCAGACTAGAAACGACGGAGAAAGAACAAAGATCCCGCTATCTCGAGTTAACCAAGAAATTCAAGAAATTGAAAACAAACTTGCAAAGAAAAAACATAGAGAGGAGAAAAAGAAAGAAATTTCTACCACCGTAGAAAAATCTTTACTTACTACTGAAGAAATCCGTGAAACGAAAGATATTAACAAAAAACAAGCTGTTAATTCATCTAAAGCTCCTATAGATTGTTCTTCCATACCTGTAGAATTAATCTCCCAATCTCCTTCCAAAGAAACTATTCTCAATGTGATCTCCTCACCAAAACCTGAAAAAAAAGGATCTGATTCTGAGAAGGTTATTATTTCTCCAAAAACTGAAGTCATAAGTATTGCCGAAGAACGAACTGAGACTATCTCAATTGCTACCAAACCATCAGAAATATGTAAACCTTCAACTAATGAAGACCCTTCACAAGATACCTCTTCAAAACCAGCAGCAGCTGAGGATTCAGATATCGAGGAAGGAGAGTGCTCTGACGATGATGATGATGATCTTGAACCTGTAAAACCTGAAGAGATTCCTATAGTTCCTGAACCAAAACCGGAGCCAATTAGAATAGAGAAATCAAGAAGAAAATCAGACTCAAAACGTTCTCCGGAGAAACTACCAAAGGAGAGGAAACCGGAGAAGACGGAAAAGGAGAAAGAAAGAGAAGAGAAGAAGAAAAGATGGAGAAAAGAATCTCCTAAGAGGAGACCAAGCAGAACTTCTGGCGGGGGTAAGATTATTAACCGTTGAACCATCAAGGGAAAAATAAGATAAGGGTTGAGTTTTCAATAGTGGATAATTGCTGACATCATACAGAGTGTATCTTATTTTATTTTATATTCTTTTTCAATATTCATGTTTTTAATTCTTATTTTTTCTAGAAGGATCCAGAGCCCGTTCTCCAGGTCCATACAGACGTAGCATAAGAAGATCACCTTCCCCTAGAGACAGGGATCGTAGCAAACGATCCCGGATGGATTACGATCGCTACGATCGATATCCTGATTATCCCTCCCGAAGTCCAAACCCCTACTGGTCTCCGGATTACTATGATCGGCAGCCAAGATCTCCTAGTCGTGATCGTCAGAAATCCAAATATTACGATCCTTCTTCCAAACATTATAAATACTGATCCTCTAGGATCAGACAAACCTCCCATATTCAATGAAAACCAGAATCCGTATTCTGCTAAATTTTTATCCTTCTAGTCCCTTAAACAAGATAAAATTAATAAGATTTTTAGATTTATATTAAAATTAATATTTATTTAATTGATATAAAAATGAATTGCTCTTGACAACTAGGTAAAATCTAGGATTAAAATTAGATTTTTGTCCTCGCAAAATTATCATAATTCAACGCATTTAATTTGTTTATGTTATTAGCTCCAAGCTTTTCTTTAAATAACATTGATATGATTTCAGAGTATAAAATGGCTGAAGGGGGTTCTCCGACCCTTCCACCCAACCCACCCGGACCTATCCTTCATCCGGATATAATCCCGGATATTATTCCGGTTGATCTAGGTTGGATTACTGGAATTTTTTTTAACCTGGCCTTTTTTAATTTTTTAAAGTTTTTTTTCATTTATTTTTTTCCGAATTAATAGAACTTTTGTTTTAGATACATTTTTTTTTAAATGTGTGTATATAAGTAAGTAAGTAACAAGTAAGTAACAACGGGTTTTTTATTTCAAAATGTGTTCTTTATCCCTTGTTCTTCTTTCATACCATTACCATTCTGCCCCTTTCCCTCCCGAGCTTTTATAATTTATTTTTTTGTTCAGTAAACTCGATGACTCGACCTCGAGTAGAAACCCTGGAGTACACCCCTCGTCGTATAGTTGTACAACCAGCTGGGCAGGTAGATCAACAGTCTCCAGGTACACCTGGATACCTGGAGAGAGGAGGAGGAGGTCTTCAACCTGTAGATATTGTTGAGAGTTTACCCAGTAATCTGATAGACCCGGAGTCACCAGGAGGGCAACCCAGTTCTAATGGTCAGGATGGAGATATCACAGATGCAAGGTAGGACGGTTATATCCACATATACAAGGTAGGACGGATAAGGTAAGACGCATATATTACAAATGTATGGTAAGACGGATGTATTAAAGATTAAAGGTAGGACGGATATATTACAGATGCAAGGTAGGATGGAAATATTACAGATACAAGGTTTACAAGGTAGGACGGATATATTAAACATACAAGGTAGGACGGATATATTACAGATACAAGGTAGGACGAATATATTACAAATGTATGGTAAACGGATGTATTAAAGATTAAAGATTAAAGGTAGGACGGATATATTACAGATGCAAGGTAGGATGGAAATATTACTGATACAAGGTTTACAAGGTAGGACGGATATATTAAACATACAAGGTAGGACGGATATATTGCAGATACAAGGTAGGACGGATATATTAAAGATACAAGGTAGGACGGATATATTACAGATGCAAGTGTAGGACGGATATATTGCAGATACAAGGTAGGACGGATATATTAAAGATACAAGGTAGGACGGATATATTAAAGATACAAGGTAGGACGGATATATTACAGATGCAAGTGTAGGACGGATATAATACAGATACAAGGTAGTGTTATTTTCAAGTTAAGCGAACCATTGAAAAAGTATAATCTATGATTTGATTTGTAGATGGTTTTCCCGTGGATCTGCTGCAGTATCAGGGTTGACAGGGATACCTATGCCAACAGAGAAGGATGATCATCTCTACAATATGAACCATAGGTCAGTTCTTCTTAGCAGGATGTTTCATATTTATTTGTATCTCTTAATGTAGTAACAGGTCCAAAGTATGTACCAGAAATATTTTCTTTAAGTTGTAGCATTAGCGCCCAATTTTTCTTACTTTTTGCACAGTCTCTAACTTTTAGCTCATGCTTTTTTTGGATCCAAAATGGCCTTGATGGGAAAGTAGTTACTACAGGGGAAAAAGTTTCAAAGCGTGATTTGTCAGGTTTGGGCCAAATGTGCAAAGTTATATTTTTAATTGTTTTATTTTTCAATTTCAGTCGAAAAGTAAGAAACCGCCCGCATACTTTTATTCAGAATAAGACTACATTTTTATAATAAAATTTTGAATACTTAAGGGCCCTACAAATAATTAAATTTTAATTTTTGATTATTATTTTTTTCATTTTAGAACATGTCCCATTTTTGAAGCAAATGCTATGTTTGGGCACAAAACACCTTTTGGAACATGTCACGATTTTGAGTCATTCACAGATACCATTTACACACTTTGGAAACAAAACATGTTTTTTGCATATGGTAGAATTAAAGTAATGAAACAATAAATTATGTTCTGATATTTCAAAATAAAACAACTTGAAAAAATGAAAAATTCTAATATTAATATTTTAATGTTCTTACAATTTAATTGAACAGAAAAATGCGGGAATATTTTTATTAAAAATGAAGGAAACAAATTTTAGAATGATTTAGAAAAAATATTTTCAGTGGTTCATAATATTCTGTAGATTAATAAATTGAGTTTTGTTTTGAAACGATGAATATTTTCAAATTATGAATTGTTTCAGAAGTTGTAATGCGTCCAAAATTCGAATTATTGATATTTGCGAAAATGGAAAACCTAGAATTGTTTCAGAAATGGTATGGGGGTTTTTATCAAAAATAAACGATCATTCACAATTTTTTTTTAGAATATAAGTAAATAGTGTTATTTGTAGTTATCTTCGAGCTTAATAATATGTTGGAATTTGGAATTGATATTTGCTCTCGGCACAGGAAGAGTTACTAAAACGTTGAGCATTATATTTGTGCCCAAACAGGACACACCGTGTCAGGTTTGGAACATAAGCACGGTTTGGAACTTTCTTCCCCTGTATAAAGGAAATTGTTACATACTGATCATATCAGATCATTTCAAATCAGGCTTTTTAGAGACGTCCTACCATCAAACTCCAAACCCAAAATTAATTTACAAAGTCATTACTGGAATAAACGTGACTGATAACGTATCTTTTTCTTGTAGACGGAGAGGAAAGGCTTTTGTGTTTAATCATATGAATTTTGATCCTAAACTTCAACTAAGAGCTAGGAATGGAACTCATAATGACAGGTGGAGTACATATTATACATAGATTTCAAGATTAGGCAGACAGGATTAAAGGATTACAAGACTACACTGATAAGATTACATAGATTGGATTACAGGTTTATACGGATTACATGATCACACAGATAGTAGTTCATGATTATAGGATTACAAGATTACACAAATAGGATTAAAGGATTAAAAGTATTACATAGACAGGATTACTTAAACTGGATTACAGGATTACACAGATAAGGTTAAAGGATAAGGATTACACAGATAGGATTATAGGATTTCACAGACAGGATTATAGGACTACAAAGATAGGGTTACAGATTACACGGATAAGATTTTAGGATTACACAGATAGGATTATAGGATTACACAGATAGGGTTACAGGATTGCACAGATAGGGTTTGCAGGGTTACACAAATAGGATTACAGGATTTTACAGATAAGAATACAGGATTACACTGATAGGATTATAGGATTATAAGAATAAACAGATAGGATTACAAGATCACATAGAATGGATTACAGGATTGCAGAGATAGAAATACAAGATTACACAGATAGAAATACAAGATTACACAGATTGGAGTACAGGATTACAAGATTACAAGATTGCATAGATTGAATCAATTGCATTTCATGTATTTTTGTTTTGATAGTCAATTTTATATTTAGAGATAATCTTCGTATTGTACTGCGACAGTTGGATTTTGAGGTGGAAGTACACAATGACCTACCGTACAAGGAAACCTAGATTTTATTAATTGTAAACTTTTCGCCATTAAACAAATGTGAAAATAAGATCAAATTACCTGAAGCTGTCGAACATTATCAACTGAGATTGGGATGCATTGCTTCACCAAAGAAAGTTTTTTATTATACCTAATTACTATACACTTCTGTAGTATTTTAATGTTCTCTGGAGATAAAAATATAGAATAGTGGACCCTTCACTGAAAATTGTCTGCCACGACTTAAAGATAAAAATATAGAATAGTGGACCCTTCACTGAAAATTGTCTACCACGTCTTAAAGATAAAAATATAGAATAGTGGACCCTTCACTGAAAATTGTCTACCACGTCTTAAAGATAAAAATATAGAATAGTGGACCCTTCACTGAAAATTGTCTACCACGTCTTAAAGATAAAGATATAGAATAGTGGACCCTTCACTGAAAGTTGTCTGCCACGACTTAAAGATAAAAATACCAATTTAGAACTTTGAACTGTACTGTGAATATGAAACGATCAGTTAGAACAACGTCTTTTTATTGGCATTTAAGTTTTTTAGCTCAAAAAGTTCAGGAAAATATCAATATTAAATTTTTCAAAGTTTACAATTAAAAATAATTTGGTTTAAACAGGAGATAGAAAGAATACTAGAGCAAGCATCAATGGAGGATCATTCTGATGCTGACTGTATTCTTGTAACAGGTATATTTTTCATCTATATAATATTTTGCTTGTCTGTTTGTCCGTTTTGTATCCAATAAACTGTCAAAACGGTAGAACCACAACCAAATTTCCAAAAAAAAATCAGTAACTCTTGAAGAAATATTCATGACCTATATCCGGTTGTGGATGCAGAACCATTTTTTTCAGCGTGGATCTAATTAGGATCCTGATTCGCATCAAAATAAAATAAAAGCACTAAAATGAAATGGATCCTAAGCACTAGCTGCAGTACACATTTTTGAACCGGTTTTAAATTGTCAAATGTGAATAGACTAACTATTTGTTTGTGTTTAGTTCTGTCCCACGGTGAGTTAGGTATCCTGTATGCTAGTGACCATCCATATAAACCAGAAAACCTATGGACCCACTTTACTGCAGATAAATGTCCATCTCTGGCGGGAAAACCAAAAATGTTCTTTATCCAGGTAGATCACATTAAACTAAAGAAAATTTCATTTTTGTCCAGGACGATCACAATAAACAAAAATATTAAATTTTTGACCATGTGTATTGTGTATGTAGGTCACATTAAACTAAAGAAAATTTAACTTTTGTCCAAGTAGATCACATTAAACTAAAGAAAATTTCATTTTTGTCCAGGTAGATCACATTTAACTAAAGAAAATTTATTTTTTGTCCATGTAGGTGACATTAAACTAAAGAAAATTTCATTTTTGTCCAGGACGATCACAATAAACATAAAATATTTAATTTTTGACCATGTGTATTGTGTATGTAGCATGTAGATCACATTAAACTGAAGAATATTTTATTTTTGACCAGGTAGATCACATTAAACTAAATTGTATTTCATTTTTGACCAGGTAGATCACATTAAACTAAATTGTATTTCATTTTTGACCAGGTAGGTCACATTAAACTAAATTATATTTCATTTTTGACCAGGAAGGTCACATTAAGTTGAAAAAAAAATATTTTTGAGTGACCATGAAGGTTAGTCAGTGCATAAATACTAAACTTGTTTGTTAAGAATGTTATGATGATTTGTGGTCAATCTGAGACTAAAATTTTTCTTTGGGAAATGGCTTAGTCATATCGATCGGGTTAGCTTGATATCCAAAATGTAATCATAAGAATTGAAGTGGCTTAATTCCAGGTATATAGGGGAAATATAGGTTATTGATAATAATAAAGGGTGGCTCTTTCTTACAACTTAAAATTAACAACTATGAGAGAAGGAACTGACTGAGGGAGCGTGTTGTGAACAGATTTAAAGTATAAAAGTTACGACCTCTGGTTTAATGTTGATGAATGTTCAGGCTTGTCAGGGTGACCGGCTAGATAGCGGAGTAAAGATGGTTTCTAGAACACAAACAGATGCTGGAGCAGCTTCATACAAGATTCCTAGCCATGCGGACTTCCTCATTGGATACAGGTAAAAATATATCATATCTCAGAGGGACCGAATTTAATGAATTTGAGCTGGTCGCTGAAATACCGAACGCCGGTTTGTGATTTGAACCGGCGGTAGGTAGTTAAGCGACCACTATAATTCATTAATTACGGCGCCAGGTCAGATTTCTTTAATAGAGGGTGTACTAAGTATGGCTAGTAGAAATACTTAGATAGTATAGCTTGATAAGTATTTAACCTCTCTCTACCTAGTTTAACTACATACTTTTTGCTATTCTCTATTCCGACCTCTTGCTTCATATTTTTACTCGAAGAAAATATTTATTTTGGCATATTTTAGCACCATCCCTGGGTTCTACAGTTGGAGGAATACAACTGCTGGATCCTGGTTCATTCAAGCACTCTGCCATGTTCTACAAAGGGAAGGGAATTCCAGGGACCTTCTCTCTTTGCTCACCAGGTATACTAGGGGGGGAGTACAAGCACTCTGCCATGTTTTACAGATGAAAGGGAATTCCAGGAACCTTCTCTCTATGCTAACCAGGTATATTCTATGTTTTACAGTGAGAAGGGAAATCATGTATGCTAGGAAGGGGGTTATACATTATACAAGCACTGTCATGTTCTACAGAGGGAACGGAATCCTTCTCTCTTTGCTCACCAGGTATACTAGGGGGGGAGTACAAGCACTCTGCCATGTTTTACAGATGAAAGGGAATTCCAGGAACCTTCTCTCTATGCTAATCAGGTATACTAGGGTAGGGGGGGAGTACAAGCGCTCTGCCATGTTCTATAGAGGATAGGGAATTCCAGGGACCTTCTCTCTATGCTAACCAGGTATACTAGGGGGGGGGGAGGAGTATAAGCACTCTGCCATCTTCTATAGAGGATAGGAAATTCCAGGGACCTTCTCTCTATGCTAACCAGGTATACGGGGGGGGGAGTACAAGCACTCTGTCATGTTCTACAGAGGTTCCAGGGACCTGCTCTCTATGCTAATCAGGTATACTAGGGTAGGGGGGGAGTACAAGCGCTCTTCCATGTTCTATAGAGGATAGGGAATTCCAGGGACCTTCTCTCTATGCTAACCTGGTTTACTAGGGGGTAGTACAAGCACTCTGCCATGTTCCATAGAGGATAGGGAATTCCAGGGACCTTCTCTCTTTGCTCACCAGGTATACTAGGGGGGGAGTACAAGCACTCTGCCATGTTTTACAGATGAAAGGGAATTCCAGGAACCTTCTCTCTATGCTAACCAGGTATATTCTATGTTTTACAGTGAGAAGGGAAATCATGTATGCTAGGAAGGGGGTTATACATTATACAAGCACTGTCATGTTCTACAGAGGGAACGGAATCCTTCTCTCTTTGCTAACCAGGGGATACAGGCGATATAGGCACTTGTGCAGAGCACTCTTTTATACTTAATTTAAAATTGACTAAACACTAAACTTACCAGGAAAATAGTTCAAACTTTAACAGCATGTTTGTTAATTCGTGAATGATCAGTATTCTAAAGTGGGGCATGGCTCAAATTTGGTCGTGTGGCTGGGAACTTGGCAAGATAAAACTAAATGGATAATTTGTTTAATTCATAAGGAAGTCTTGGCTGAAAAACCAGGAAATTGAAAGGATTTAAAACTCTGATTAGCTTCTGGAGTCTTACTCCTCAGGCCATTCCTGTAACTTTTGATTTGATTTGATTTTGTACCTCTTACTTGTTATTCTTAATAACAAGTAAAATCCTTAATTATATAATATATATCTAGATTAAAAGAAGGAACTATTATATTCCGTAGAACATGAATCTGAAATGATCCAATTTGAAAATTAATTCATACGATTAATTTTCTTAAAAGAACAACATTTCGAATTCATTTTTTGGCACTTCTTATTATAGTTAAAGAAATATATTATTAATATCAGGTTGCACATAAATTTCAATAAAAGTTGATTATTCATTTTGCGGTATCCCGTCTTACATAGACTGTAATTGTACTGTACAACTTGCTCTAGCTGGCTTAAAGTCGGTACGGTACTTGAATGAACCGGAATTTACAGTGGTGGTGTCGTCGTTATCTAATTATATATATAAAGCTCTTCGCTCATATATATATATTTGTTTGTATTGTATGTATATATGTCAGCCATAGCTGGCAAAACGGCTGGACCGAATGGGATAAAAAAAATTGAGTGAACCCTTAACTCTTGAATACCCTAGGGGTACCATAGGCTAAAAAAAATCAAAACGCCGGGTATTTCAGCTAGTATTACATAATACAAAATCTATTTTATGTTCAGGGTTTGCCGCAAAGTTGCTTTCGACTTTCAATCAAATGTTCCTGGGGACTTTGTGATGCACGACAAGAAGCAGATCCCCTGCATCACCACCATGCTCACCAGGGACGTCGTGTTCCACAGGAAATAGAAATAAAACCAAATTCAGTGGAAATATTGTTGTTCTCCTTATTTCTTTTCATCATGAACTGCCGATAACAATTTGTAATTTTCCAAATTTTCTATAATAAAAATTAAAAGAAATAAAAAAGACGACAATAATTTTAGTGTTTTCTTATTTTCATTGTATTTATTTGAAATCATGACGATCAAAATTTGAGAGTATCAAGCTCTCATTAATATTTATGTTTAAACCATTTTATCTTCATTTTTTAGATAATTTTTGAATTGAAAACTATTGTATTCATGTATAGTGTAAAGAGTATACTTTACCAAAAAACAAAACGAATGTCAACTATCCCTTAATCTATATACTATGTAATATGTCAATAGTAAAGTAATGACCTAAAACTTGACTTCTTAAAAGATTTCTTTTTATTGTGATTGTAATTTATATTATATGATGAATATGTAATTTGTAAAAAGTTATGATTGATCAAGTATTTATGATTATTGTTTATTTTCCAATTCTAAATTAAGTTAATGTACATTTTGTGTTTCAACCAAGCCAAAAAAATGTATATTTTTTTGTTTTCTTATTTTGTTTTCTTGTTTTAACCCGAACCTCCGTAATTGCCAATGCTGATTAGTGTCAAATAACGGGTTATTTTCATTTGTATTTTTTGTACTGTGGAACTGATATTTAGGAATATTAGGATCAAATGATTTTATTTAATCTGTGATTTTCCTTCACTTCTCTGCAACGTGTTTCTTTTTAATATTTAATGACGTTCATGATTTATTCACACTATTTTCTTTCCATCCTAATATTTTTTTTACATTTTTGAGGATAACTGTTAAAAAATTGTAATTTTATTATTTTCATCTTTTATTAAGAAATGTCGTTTGAAACTTTCTGCTTTATTTTTCTCTTTTAAAATCGTTTTTACCAAACATATTCTTTACACTTTGAATTTCTATACAGTATACTGTATAGTGTATACACATATGTATTTAAGCTTATTACGCAATTACTTTGAGGGAAATTGATATTTATAATTTTAAATAAGACTTTCTGTAAATATTATATTTTAATACGGGCATTTTTTATTTCCTTTTTAACTAACGTTTAAAATTACCTTTATACAGCAACTTTTGCTTTTGATTTAACTATCAACATGTTTCCTGACTGTACTACTAGTATTTGGATGTAAAACTTCTTATGCTTGATAATAATCTAAAAATATTGTTGTATGCTTAAACAATGATCTCATTCAAAGGGACAGTAAAGGAAAAATGAATGGGGGTATAGGCTGAAACTCGATATTCTCAGGAGTAGAAAGATACCTTTAAGACATCTATTTGATGTTTCTGTCCTGAGAAATTGACATAAAACTGTGTCAAAATTATACCAAACCGTATATATGTAAGATATACGCCCGTATCACGTGACCAGAACTCCCTCCAATGGTATCCTGGTTACGTGATACAGACGGAGACACGTGACAATAATTCTGCACTTCCATTGGTTGGAGTTCTGGTGACATGTTCCGGACGCATAAATAATATCAATTATATCTATGAAAAATGAAAAATTATTAAATTTTGATAATAATAGGAGCAAACTTGAGTTTCTCAGGCTCCACAGGGATATCGCTGTTTTCAGATTGGTTGCGTATTTGTTGAATATGATCTGTTTAACATTACGAATCTTATACAAAATCTTACATATATTACAGATAGATGTCTTCTAGGTATATCGTGTTTCTCCTGAGAATCTCAGGTTTCAGCCTAAACACTCTTTAATTTTTCTTTTACAGTTGCCCTTTATGCATAAGAAGTTATTGTACAATTGATATAAAAATGGAAAATATTTTTTTTAATAAATTATGAAAAAGCATTTTTATTGTAATATGTTGGACGTTTAACCAATAATCCACTCTTTCTTCGATTAGTTTTTTTTGTAACTGAGTTTCATCTTAAAGGGACTGTGAGCGAAATTTCAAGTGACCCTCGATGCAAAAATGAAAATGGCAGTGCCAGATTTTAAAAATCAAAAAATTGATAATAAGGAAGCTCAATTACTGGAGAATATAATGGTTTTATTATAACAATGTTTCTAACAAAAGCACAGAACAGGTGTCTGTTCTGTGAACAAGAGTCACATGATACAAACACATGGTACATAAAAAAGATTAAAAATTATTATCTTAAGCTCATCAAGAACTTTTCTTATAATTAAAAACATTAGGTATTTATTATTTTCCAGAAATCTCTCAATGTATTTTACGAGGTTGGAAACTTCGTTTTCATTATTAATCAGCTTTAAACCCTTTCATAAACAACTTTGTTGAGCTCAAAAGGGGCCTCGGGGTTGGTCTAAGGTTGATAATCCCGCTGAAGGGTTGATAGTCCCGCTGAAGGGTCGATAATCCCACTGAAGGGTTGACATTATACGGAGAAAGATTGTTGGGTTTATGGTCTACAAACATGCTACAAACGTGTGGAGTTGAACGGATAATTATGAGCCATAAACAGCAGTTGCAACCGCGTTTGGACTCTTTCATTTCTGTTGTATGCCATTTGGCTTAAAACATGTTGGAGCTGCTTATTGTTGATTGGTACAAAGATTAGAGACGGTTAAAAGAGTAGAAATGAATACCGTGGACATAGATATAGATATGTATGACCGTGGAGCAAGGATGTTTTCCAATGTGTAAAGGTACGGATACCAATGTTAAGGGGCGAATTCCAAGGAGTAAAGAGGTATTCCAATGAGTTCGGTTGTATACTAAGTTGAGTAGCTGGACGAATATCAAGGAGTAGGGACGGATTGAGTGCCGGAAAGGTGAATATCAAGGAGTAGGGACGGATTGAGTGCCGGAAAGGTGGATAATTAAGAGAGGAATCTCCGAGGATGGTTTACTGTTTATAAATAAATATCTCCGCTCTGTAACTTCATTTCCAATTCAGCAACCAATACAGGAGGGCAATATGGTGAGGTTGATAAAAAAAAATACAGGGTGTCCCACGAAACATGACAGTTGGTGAATAGATTAAAATGTCTTCTTCCATAATTAGTTAAGTTGTTTGATACTAAAGAGAATGATAACAAATATTGTATGACAATCATAATTATAGTAAAATAAGTTTGAGGAAAAGATGTTTTTTAACGTTTTTTTAATTGTCATGTTTCGTGGGACAACCCGTATTTGATAGCAAAATTATTATTTATGTTATTATTTCTTATATCTAAATATCACTGACATTTGATCTGAACGAGTATGTCTTATGTTTTTGGCTTATTATTTGTTTGTTTGTAAGTGTTTGTATCCCAAAAACGTCTAAACTACTGAACCGATAGGGTCCACATTTTTATAATTTTACATGATCATACGTAAAAGTTTACTTTTATGATGAATAAAACTAAATTTGTCACTTTAAAAAAGGGTTTCCCTTCAAGCATAGTATTGGTATATACAGGCGTTAGCAATATGCTACGATAGAGGGGTTGTTAACAAGTTTTTCTTGTTTTTTGTCTGTTGCCAAATCATTATACAGGACAGGAGACCACATTCAAACTTAAATAGCTGTAGCTTGGTCGTCAGTAAATACTCAGCCTTTGTGGATAACAACGTATATATACACTGTGGCGCCCATAAAATATTGGAATAGAAAGACGGCAGCGTGTTATTCTCAAGCTATTATTTAAATAGTAAAAAAAAACAATGCAAGAATGTCTTGAAAAACTATTTGTTTCAAGACAACAACAAATAAACTTAAACGTGTATCTAATCCAGAAATCTATGTATTATCTTTCTACTATTTAGATGACCCCATTCCTGCTTAACTATTTACTCTTGGGACTCAGCTCAGGAGAGGTTCAAAATAGACATAGACAGGTTTGAACTTGATGTTTTTAAAATGATTTTAAGATGGTGTATCTTTCAACCTACGCATATCCGCAATACGATCCATTTCTGACCTACGCCACATCTTCCGACCTACAAGCACGTGGTTTTACAGCTGTAAGCTGTAATTGACTAACCTAACCCTCAATTAATACAAAATAAAACAGCTGTCGTAGGTTCGATATTTCAGTTGGTTGGAAAGTTAGTAGGTCAGAAATTCTGGAGAAGGGATAATGCGCAATGTTTATAGGCTATGTAATTTTACCGATTTTAGTCCTGTCTTCACGAACAAGTCTATTGGAAAAATCTATTTAAAGGTTTCCCTATAGACTTTCATTTTATTTCAGCTTGTCCACAATCCATTCCGATATGTACTATCTCTATAGTTTTTCATAAGCTCATGTGATCCAGAGTAAAATTTTGAAAAATGGAAAATAAGAAAACCCAAAAATCACCGGCGAATTGATGAATTTGGGGGCTTATTTTCTTCTGGGGAAGGGGGTCTCAGCACCTATAGTATTCTGCCCAAAATTCTTTGGTTGCAACCTTATAACTTGACCTAAAGGAAGGACTAAAAACACCAAAAAGGTAAAAACACGAGAGTGGCCACCTTGGAAAAGTGTGAATTCTGAGTTAATAAACTTTTACGGCATTTTGCAGGATCAAGCGGGTCACCATCTATATATAAATTTGTCTTGTCTGTCTGTCTGTTTGTATCCAATAAACGTCAAAACGGCTGAACCGATCGGGCCCAAATTTTTTGTGGCACCTCGCGTTATCCCAGGGAAGGTTTATGAATGATAAAAATTTTAAAAAATGTGTTTTGTTTTAAAGGTTTTTAATTTTGTAAAAAAAATTAAATTCTTGAAAATCCGCGAATTTTTTTTTAAAAATCCGCAAAAATTTTTTCTTCTTTGTTTTTAAATGTAAACAAAAAGAACATGTTCACAATTTAAATAGGAGATGGGCGCGAAGCGCCCTAAAAGCCTAGAAAGAAGGGCGCGAAGCGCCTTGAATTTCTAGTACAAATAAAAGCCATGCTAATACAAATAAGCATGACGATTATAAAGATCAGATTACCAGATATTCCTTTCAACATCACTTGAATAAATTTTTTCTGGAAATTTGTATGGCTGACGGACTGCTAGAATAACATTTATTAACTGTGAGGTAAACTGTATAAATAGCATGTAGTGCATTATTAATTATAGTTAATTATAGTTTCACAAGAATGAATTACTCGTCGCGAGATTTTATTACTCCGTCCAATTCCTTCAACATGGCTTAACCTAACCTAACCTATTTTAGCATCGAACACATTTTTTAGGTTGGAAAATATTTGAGTTTAAGAATCTTAGGCAAGGTGTTAAAAGGTTTTATTTACTATTACGCTTTAGCTTGAATTGTTATTGTCTTTAAAATTATAAAAATAAGTTTTTTTTTTAAGTTGACTTTTTTATCAAGTGTCCGTTTTTTTAAAAGACCTGCTAATTACATAGATATTAAGAATCTAATTAGCCATTTAAATTCTTGAAATTTTACAAAGTTTTTGAAGACTTCTCTCCGCTGATTAGCATAATTACAAAATCATACTGTAAGAATATTAAGAATGAGTTAAAGATATATTTTGCAAAGCGCCAGGAAAAATTTACTACTTGTCTTGAGGGGTTAAACACCCCTCTTTTTAGATTGGGACAAACTACCTGATTTAAACATTTGAACAATATTCTCATGAGAGGGGACCGGGTTCCCCCTGGGATGTCCAGATTGGGGAAAGAGGACCACTGCCCCCCACCACCCGAATACACAACTGAATTTCTCGAGTTATGATTTTAAACCGTCAAACCATGAAATATGAAAAGAAATGGTAAGTGTAATAGACCCATTTCACATAAATAGTTGATTTTAAAGATGTCTGTATAAACTTTGCTTTATAACAGCATTAAATACATATAGGATTGCTTTAATGTCGTCATCCTATTCCACAGTTTGATGGGTTCCATTGTATTATAAAATTCAGATTTCTGAAAATAAGTCACCCTCCTTTCAAAGATGACAATGATCCTCAATGGTAACCTTAAAACCTTAAGCTGATCAATAATGAAGTATTTATTTATAAACACAAAATAAGAAATAATAATGTATGATGGTTCAGCTAAAAACAAATCTCAAAAGAACATTTAATATGAGCCAATTGAAAATATGATGTTTAATGATTTTTTTATCGGTATTTGTTGAAACAACCTATTCTATTCCAATCTCAACTGAATATACATTTATTATGGCATTTACAAGTAGATACTTGGTCAGCACTAAAATAATCATTAAACTGTTCATTCATTGAACTTATAAATACATATTGATCAGCAAAAAACAAAGTATTTTTGTTTCTGTAATATACTTTGACATCCATTATTCAGCAAAGGGTGTAAACCCATTCTTGTTGACTGTAGTAGGCTTTGACATCTACCTTTAGATAAGGGTTGAAACCATAATCGTTGACTGTAGTAGACTTTGACATCTACCATTAGCAAACTCGTTGACAGTTTGAATCCTGCCAAATGTTATATACAATGTTTTCAAATGTTGTTGTCGTGTCGTTTTTCTAGGTTTCTAATAATTTACATATGTTTTCCTGCAGTGTATTGAGTATTCATTGGATTCTCATATTTCGACAATGATACCAACTCAAATTGTAAAATTTATTCCAAAATTATCAAATTTTTATCCGCGTCACGTTATGTTAGCAACATATAGTTAGCAAGATTGTAATAATGCCAATACCAGGGGTTTCAACCAATTTTGCATTAAACAGAAAATAATTATATATTCATTTTAGATCAAGAAGGAAATTACCATATACTTCAAAAAGAACTATACTTTTACAAAATTGTTTTGTGTTCGAATAATTTCAAAAATAAGCATCCTTTGAAGGTTGAAGCCTCTTAATTAGCCTTAATTCGTACCATGCATATAAATATACAATCATTTAAAAAGAAAAGAAATAATTATAATAATTATAAATTATAATATATAAATTATAATATATAAATATAATATATATATATAAATAATTGAACCAAAAATAAAAGAGTGGAGAAAGTAGGGGAGGAAATGTTTTGTTGTAAAAACAAATAAACAATATCATCATCCTTATACAAAGTTTAGTTCAAAACAGAATCGGGGTCATGTCTTACCATTTTGGTGTTTATAATACCTCAAACATTTTTTCGTGTTTTTAAGCAACAAACCCATATTATACAGAATTAACTAGCGCAGTTTTCAGCAAAATGTATGAAAAACATTCCCCTTAAAGGGATTGTTTATCTATTTAGATTTATACATTTTACGCCAATTATTTAAACTAAAAACACAACTAAGCCAATCTTACGTATATATGATTAAGTTTTAAGACCATTATATTTTAAAAATATCTGTCAAATAATCAAACTACACGTGGATTTAACGGTTCTGTCAATATTACAGAAAACTGTGACGACTCGATCACAATTTGTTCTGTTAAACATCATTTTTTAGCCTTTTTTCTTATATACTTTTTTGTTGGCATATGCATTTTAAATAAAAAGTATAAAACAATCAAAACCGTAAGTTTAAAGGTTGTTTAATTATAGATCAAAACGCGTATGATTTTAAATAGAAGAAACCGAATGCCTCTAACTCTGGTTAGTCCGGTGTGACTAGTTTAGCTATAAATCTATATTTTTAGTAGATTTTGCAGGCATTTTTACAACAGTAAGATGAAAAATGGTGCTTAATTGTTCAAAGAATAATTGGAAAATATTTATAAATCTTTGAAATTTTCAAGAAACTAAATTTTTACGAAACGTGATCGTTAACATGCAAAATATATCGAAACGTGATCGTTAACATGCAAGATATGGTGCCATGACAAACTCCCGAAAGACAAACTCCTGACGAGACAAACTCCTGAAAGACAAACTCATGAAAGACAAACTCCTGATCGACAAACTCCTGACGAGACAAACTCCTGAAAATACAAACTCCTGAAATTATGAAATTTTTCTCTAAATGAAATATGATAAAATTCATAAACTTTAGAAGAAAAATCCGCAAATATCCTAGAAAAAAAACTCAATCTTTAGTAATTTGAATATGCTTCAAGCAGCAAAGTATTACAATGATCAGAATAACCAGCAAATTTATTATTATTTATTTTTTATTATTTAGGGTTAGGTTAGGTTGAGACACTTTCTGGGCCGAGCGCTGCGGCTAGGACAGGCTAGTGGGCCTAGCGCTGCGGACATGGGTTAGGTTAGTTAAGACACTTTCTGAGCCGAGTGCTGCGGCTAGGACAGGTTAGGGGGCCGAGCACTGCGGCCACATGGTCAATTATATCCATGTCTAACATATAAGATCCATGTACAAAATTGATAGGAGGGGGGAGGGGGGTCAAAAAATCGTTCTCTAGGAAATTACCTAATTGTATAAATTAGAAAAGAATATAATTTAGATTTTAATTTTTTTAAATTTGAAATTATGGAGTTTGTCTTTCAGGAGTTTGTCTTTTCAGGAGTTTGTCTTTCAGGAGTTTGTCTTTCAGGAGTTTGTCTTTCAGGAGTTTGTCATGGCGCCGCAAAATATATCGAAACGTGATCGTTAACATGCAAAATATATCGAAACGTGATCGTTAACATGCAAAATATATCGAAACGTGATCGTTATGCAAAATATATCGAACGTGATCGTTAACATGCAAAATATATCGAAACGTTCAGGATTCCACAAATCTTGCATTTTGTATATTTTCAAATATATGAAAAATTCCTTAATTAAAATACTAAATTTTTAGTTCGGTCTATCTGGAGCCCCTGAAAATGTCCGAGCCCCAGCTGTCCTTGAGACCCTGCTCCCGGAGAAGGAGCAGAACAGTTCTCCGACCCAGGGGAAGAAGAAATGGCTCCTGCCACCTGCTGGAAGTATCCGGGGTGGGAACCAGATATATCCCGGAGATATAAGGAACCGACCAGCTCTACTCCTTTCAGCCAAACCCTCAACCCCACCTAGGTAAACCAATCTCACTTTAAACTCAGATTCATTTGAAGGACCGAACCGACTTAGGCAGCTATTATATAGCAAGTTGTACAGTACATACACACAGACTATAGACGGTAAAACGGGAAAGTACACCAAAAGAATCAGCCCCTCCATCAAAAGATTGGAATGTCCGATTAAAAACGGTGTCCTGAAAAGATTTGTCTTCATGAATGAGATATACATGTTTAATGTTTATCTCTTCAAAATTCAATATTTTTAATTGTGGTTTCTCTACAAAGTGACTTCCGCATTTCTGTTGTAAAGCTAGTAAAACGACGATATTTTCCACGTTATTGACCAGATAAAGTTTCGAATCGGTATGCCATGCATCTTTAAATGGAGGGTCACTCTAAAATACATATACAGTCCCTTTAACGCTCTAATTTTTTATCTCGACAGCTTTGCAACCTGATGATGGTGTAAATACACAGACTTACCAGACTGCGCTTATGCTCTACCTGGATAGGCTGAGCAGTCCTATAGTGTCCCGGCACGCCATGCTACAGTTACATGAAAGGTTTTTTGACTGCCATATAACGCCCTTGTTGCACATAATAACCATTTAGGAGTTTAGTTTTACAACTTTTAAATTTTTAACATGAAACATAAAATTTATGAATTTAGTCTATTTTTGAAGATTTATATTTCGTATACAAAAGATCCTTTAATATCCCTGAATACAGATGCCTGCTGATTGGTAGTGTACATAATAGAACCTGCTGTGGAAAATATCGTATATTCTAGGTTTTAATTGATATCTGTTACTCATCTTACCTCTGTGTGTTATATAGAATAGTTAATATTTAACACTTTGATCTAGCAGAATTCATAGTTTTATATATTTATATCAAAGGTCTGTGATATCAGGTTGCCAAAATATAAGAATTAGAAAATTTGAATTTGCGGCCATTTCCTTTCATGTGTATGAAGACTCCGGGAACCAACTCAAAAAGTTTCAAAGATATGAAGATATGAAGATATGAAGTCGACTTCTTGTGTTTGATTAACGTCAAGTTTTACACTTTTCGGGACTAGCGATGATACTGCAGTGATGATTCTTCATGTAGAATATTTGTCGAAATCATTTTGTTATTTCAGGGTTTGGAACGGGGAACCAAGAGTGTCTCATGATAACAAAAAATATCTTCGCTTCTCTAGAAGTGGTGGAAAAGGATCTCTGGGCAGTTCAAAATATTTGAGATTTTCGAGAAAATCTGCGAAAGGTGGAATCAGGAAATTCCAAAAGTATTTGCGGTTCTCAAGAACCCCCAAACGAAATGGTTTCGGAAACTCCAAGTATCTCCGATTTTCTAGAGGGTCCGGGAAAACCCTGTTTGGAAACCCGAAATACCTGAGGTTTTCCAGAAACTCTCCGGATAATCAAGATCAACAAAATGACAAGCTGAAAGTCAACCCTGAGATAAACGGAAAGATGGAAGAGCTGTGGTCTCAGTTTGACCAGGAGAACAACATCAAGTCTAGAAACCAAGAGGAAGAAGATAACGAGGACTACTCGGTTAAGAACGAGAGCGCGGAGTCCCAGTTGGTTGATCTCTCAGACCAGGACGTATCTAAACTCTTTGAGTTTCCGGAGCTGGAATTGCCAAAACTCCTGGAGCAGTATCAATTTGGATCCAAGTTCTCTGACACACAGCAAGAGAGCCAGGAGTTGGAACTTCATAACTTGATCTCTTCTCAAAACCCCTAGATCTCCCATTTTGAGGTTAAACGGATGAAACCCAACCAAATCTGTAAATCGGGTTTTTAAGAATCCAAAATCCTGTAAATAAAGATGAGAAATGTGCTTTAGTGTAAAGGTTATTTTTAAGAAGAGATTTTTAAGCAACTTCTTGAGGGTCGATGATTTATTATTATAGCGTATCATAATATCGAATGTTAAAAATCTGCGATGCAGAGATTGATTTGATTTGTTTAATGAAGATCGATCTGTTAGTGGGCGATGAGAAGAATATTTTTGAAATTAGTTATGATGAAACTTGAATATCATGTTTCGGTCGAAAAAAGTTGTTTAAGGACCTTTTCAGAATTAAAACTATATACTACTCAAGGAACATTTTTCAACCCTTTAATAAACTTTATTAATTTATTTAATCACCTGTACGTATTCTAATGGACCTGAAAATTATATTTTATTCTATAATAAATTGGAATTTTTTATTTTGACTCAAATTGATCATTTTATCATTTATATTTTAAGATAAAATCTTCCTTTCTCGAAAGAACGGATATTTTGCAACAAAGCCAAATTTTCTAATCCATATATCTTCGTAACCTGAAGGTGTGAACCTTTTATATTTCAAACTTAGACTATTTGATCAAACAGAATACATAGTTTGAAATATAAAAGGTCTGCGACATTGGGTTGCAAAGATTTAGGGTTTAGAAAATCATAGTTTTTAACCAAAAATCAATTCAATTCTACAAATATAGAAATTGTTAATATATTTTTCGTAACCTTTCATCTAATGCAAATTAAAAACTATACTTTTAAAACATTTCTATACGGAATTGTGACGTTTCGCAGTAATAGTTTTTCTTTATCAGAAATAGGACAAATCTTGGCAGTTTTTTGCTTGTATCTGCTTGCAAAATCTACAGTCACTTACTAAAAAAACTGTTTTCGATGGTGTTTACGTTTTTATAAAAAAAATTAGTATATCTCAAAAATAACGTTTTAGTTCTTCTATGAAAACCTTGTTCAAAACTAAGAAATGTAATCTCAAATATTTTAAAATTGAATTCAAGTCTTTCTTCTTAATTTTTATTTATAATGAATCTTTATAGATATTAGAGAAATGGACAAAAGAATTGATTTTGCTTTTATTCACTTGATTGCACCGCGTTTATTAGATTTTATTTTGAAAACTTAACTTTAAATACAAAAACAATTTCTTTAATAAAGTCTTATTTTTTTCTATTTTACAGTTAAGGTCCTTGTAATCAATGTATAATGAACTTCTAGTGACTAAAACTCAAATGTAATGGAAACATCGGGATTTTATTGTAGTTCTTGAGGTCTGTTTACAAGTGTACAGTAGTTACAGTGAACTAAGAAAGTACGGAAGAAGGCATAATGAATTCCGTTCAGTTGTCTCTGCAGTTTTATCCTTTGTGGAACCCTGTAGTATCGTTCCATCTATTTTCCTGAACAATATTAATATTTATCAAATATAAAACAGCATCAAAGTGTTCAACTATTAAAAACATCTTGTAGAAAAAAAAGAATAATTAATTTTGTCATGCTTGACCAGTCAAAGGTTTAAAGGGTATTCTAAAATAAAAGTTCGATTGAAATTACGCCTAGAATCTCTTTAAGAAGCAAACCTTGCATGCAGCATGTATATATAAGAAACAAGTTAGATGTCAGCTAAGGATATGGACTAAGAAGATGGGGATAAGCTGTGTTTACATATTACCGTGACGTTTTAGGAAATCTTAGTAACTAGTTGCATTGTAAACAATAACAAAATATGCTGTTTCCTGATTACACAATGTTTACTTTTAACTATCATAATTATCATTATCATTATCATTATCATTTTCATTATCATTATCAGTATCATTATATTTATCATTAAAATTTTCATTATCATTATTATAATTATTTTTATTATTATTATTATTATCCATAAAAAAACAAGACATTTATATTTATGATTTAAATTTCGGTGATTGGTGATGCACCAAACCTCTGTATAGTAAAAAAGTAGATGTTAGTTCCACATTTATTGAAAATATATTTCGGTCTGGATTGACCCTTGTCAGTTCTAACGATATAATAACCATCAAAATTCCAAATCAATAATAAAAAAAAAATTTTAAACCACAAGAAAATAAACAAACAAAAAAGATTATTTAAAAAAAATTTGGGCTGTTAAATGGATATAAGGGAAACGAACTCAGATTATGAGATGGAAAAAAAGATAATTTGCAAATATTCACTTTAAAAAAAATGACAATTATTATTCCTTATGATTGTTTCTGTCACAAAGATTAAAAACATTAAAGAACTTTTACGTAA